AGGGGGATGATTTTTCTAGCCATAAACAATTCTCAATAACCATATGGCAAGGACGTCATAGACAGTTTGAGATTTTTCTTAGAAATTTATCTCTGAGCATTGGTGTAGACAGAGAAGGGGAGAGAGAGAGAGAGAAAGAGAGAGAGAGACAGAGACAGAGAGAGCATTGTCATTTATTCAAGACTTGTGTATATTGTTACAGCTCAGTAGCTAATTTAAAGGCTTTTCATCATCATAAAGTAAAGCCCCAGGCTCCTCCAATCCTGCATTTAGGAAAGTAGGATCACTAAACTTCTGTGTGGATTGGTAGCAGGTGAACATTTTATACATGTCCTAAGTGCTGGCCCCTCATTGACTGGCCTGCCTTGCCCCATTAAAAGGACACATGAAAGTTGCTCGGTGACCATTTACATTTACATAAATTAATTTCAATGCATAAGCTGTCATAATGCCATGTCAATCCTTCCCCCTAAGCCTCTTTGAGAAGAATCTTTTTCTTAATCTTTTTTTTCTTTTTTTTTTTTTTTGGCTAGGCAATGGGATTAAGTGTTTTGCCCAGGGTCACACAGCCAGTAAGTGTCAAGTGTCTGAGACAGGATTGGAACTCAGGTCCTCCTGACTGCAGGACTGGTGCTCCACTGCACCACCTAGCTGCCCCAAGAAGAATTTTCTTTAAGGATTTTTTGTATAATTGAATTCATTGTTCTTATTAACATAGTTCTGGTTGGCTTGGGGGTTCAAGTTTTTTTTTTTCTTTGCAGTATTTCATAAAAATCTTTCTAGATTTTCTTTGTATTCCTTATACTTTTTAGCCTTAACTGTATTATCATATTTCATTACATGAAAATACCACAATTTATTTAACCCTTTCCCTATTGTTGCACATTTAGGTGATTTCCAGTTTTGTTCTCTCTTGTTTACAATCACTGTAACAGGAAACAGAACTGAGCCAGTGATTGTATTGGTATTGGGAACTCCCAGATGAGGAAAATCCCTCTACCAATGCAGGTAGCACCTCCTCTGCCACTTAGAGTCTTAGAGGGTGACCTGAGATCTTAAAAAGTGCTGTCTCCACCACTCAGCCACTAGGAAAATCTTTGAACAGAGAGTGCTTTAGGAGGGGTATATTTTGGATCCCAACAATGGAATCATGGGTTCAAGTATATATTTAATTTTGTAACTTTTAGTGAAATATTGCAAGCCTATTCTCCAAAAAAAGATTCTATGAGTTTGCAATCCCACCAGTGGTGAATGTGTATCTGTATCTCCACAATCTACCAACACTGAATTTCATTACTTTTAATTATTTTTGTTAATTTGACAGATGTTAGGCAGTACCTCAATGCTGTTTTAATTTGCATTTTTTGGAAATGCTGGCTCTGAGGCAGAGGACCTGAGTTCAAATCTTGCCTCTTTTGTTTACTACCTGTGAAACCTTGGGCAAGTTGCTTCATCTTTCAGGGCCTCAGTTTCCTCATCTGTGAAATGATAGAGCTGGACCAGAAGATCTACAAAGTCCTCTTCATCTCTAGACTTGAGGTCCTATGATTGTTGGTGAAGTTAAAAATTTGTCAAATGATTATTAACAATTTGAGTTTCTTTTTTAAAAAATATCTGTTTGTGTCCTTTGTCCATGTTCCCACACTAACATAGTAGTGGATTCCTTTTACATTTATGCTGTAGATATTTATACTTGCCCTTGACACCTCCCCCTTTTAGAATATAAGTTTCCTAAGAGTAGGGATGGTTTCATTCTTTGTATGTGTATGACCAGCGCTTCACACGGTTCCTGGTATATAGTAGGCACTTATTAAATGCTTATTCATTGATTGATTGATTGACACAGATCAAGGTGCAGAACCCCATAGCTAGGAAAATGGAACCAGGAGAAGGCTGTGCTCATCACTTTAGAACTTTGCTAAAATGTTGCTTATTTCCTTCCATTCCTTGTAGTATAACCCAAGAATATGTGATGATCTTCATTCCTGCTCTTCCTGTAAGTTACCCCCAAATTCTAGCTGCTTGTCCTTCACCAAATCAGTCATAGGTTGTTCTCACTCACCAAAGAACTTGGTGGTCTCAATCTGATGCTCGATCAGATTGTGTCTGTGCAATGGGCAGAAAGTCCACGTCTCAATGGCAAGGGAAGGAAAGAGAAGCCGTCAATTCCAGATGCCAGTGTCCAGATTCCATCCCCTTGTTCCTATCATGCAGTTAGCTACCTGTAGGGGGCTACAAGGAAGTTAAGATCTAATGGGAGCCTTGGAGCTCAGTAGGTAGAATTGAGGAGGGACAGCATTGCAGTCATGGGGGACGGCCAGAGAGGATGCCTGGAGTCAAGAGATAGAGTGTCTTGTCTATAGAATATCCAGGAGGCTGGAGCACTGGATCGAAGAGTATGTGTTGAGGAGTAAGGTGTAAGAAGGCTAGAAAGGTGTGTGGGGTGTGGCTAGGTTATGAAGGACTTTGAAAGCCAAACAGAGCATTTTGTATTTGATCCTGGAGGTGACAGGGAGCCGCTGGGGTTTACTGAGTAGCGGGGGTGACAAGGTCAGATCTGCCCTTTAGGAAAATCACTTTGGTGGCTGAGTCGAAGATGGACTGGAGTGGGGAGAGACTTGAGGCAGACAGCTGCTATTTGACAGAGACTAGAGAGGTACAGAGAACACCAAGTGCTTGATGAATAGGGAAGAGGGGGGAATGTTTGAATGAAGAAGGCCGAGGCCCACTTCTTAGAATTATACCCATGTTTAGCCCATCTAAGATCAGTCCTCACATGTATGTGTATATTTCTTTCCAGGCAGTTTTCCTTTATACCTTAGAAGTGAAATATCTGCAAAATCAGGTATGGTGACATTCCCACCCTATGTAGGCTTCTGGGTGTTTTGGTCCAAATAGCTACTTTCCTTACCACTCCCACTGGGCCCTGCCTGCTGGTGCTGTGTGGTTTTATGGGGCCAACCTAAAATGTGTTTCTCCCACTTGGGTCCACCTGGGTTAGAAGGAATGGGAAAAATTGGGCTGTGGAAGAAATTAGAGTTTCTCCTTGGCCACCCTGGAGATGGTTCAGTGGGCAGGCCCACTCCCTTGCCCACCCTAACTTAAGTCACATGCTTGCTCTCTGCTGCCCCTCCCTATGGCCAACAATCTCTTACAATTGATGTGAAGGGACTCAGACTGAGGGGTGGCTGGCTACTGGTCTCGGTCATGGGAGTTTGTGTTCCTAAAGAGCATCTCATGCCAGGCTCCTGGCCTGGTACTCTGGGTACTCATAGACTCTCAGCTCTACAAGGGGCATTGGAGAACATCAAGTCTGACCCCCCTTCATTTAACAAGAAATAGAAAAAGAGGCCCAGAGAAGGAAGAACCTAGCCTTAGCTCACACAGCCAGTCAGCAAAAGAACTGGTAACAGAACTCAGGGCTTCTCTGCCTTCCCCAAATCTGTCCCCTCCACCATCACTACCTCCTTCATTAAGTTACACTCACAGAGTCACATCCAGAGACATAAAGACCCATTCACCAATACACACAGGCATCCAAAGTTGACGCTGATGTTGGGGGACCCATTCTACGGCACCTCCTCCCTCTGTTGTTTTACCTTGCCAGACACACTCACAAAGACAAAGTCACATATATAGGTGAAACATTCCTATCCGGACACACTCATGGACGGGCTTGAAGCCACACACACCTTAGACACAGTCACAAGAGCTCACACTCACAGATCCTCCCTCTCCAGTTACCCAACAACACAAAAGTCATGGTATCAACAAAGACTCAAAGAAGAGCAGGGGGTCTGAGTGCTCTGTGGCTAGGTTGCTGTTTTCCTGTATTTCAGAGCATTATCTGGCCTCAGGTTCTCAGCACTATCCTGGCAAATGGTGTCAATGGGTTGGCCAACTACGTCTTTGTCTACGTTTTGAATCTGGGAGTGCCGTAAGTAGCAAGTGGGCATTACCAAGGCAGTAAGAATCTGGTACAACAACAACAAAAATAATGATAACAATAGCATTTATATAGCCCTTGAAAGTTTGTGAAGCACTTTATAAATATTATCTCATTTGATTGTCAAAACAACCCCAAGAAACAGGTGATATTATTATTCTTTTACACAGCGCCTGGCACGTGGTAGATTTTTAATAAATGCTTATTGATTTATAGGTGAGTAAACTGAAGCAGACAAAAGCTAAGTGACTTCCCCAAGGTCACACAGCTAGTAAGCGTCTGCAGTAAGATATGAACTCCAGTCTGTGGGGTTCAGGATGGAGGGGATGGCCTGCAATTGGGAGCATTTGGGCAAAGGGCAGGAAGTCCCATACCTACCGCCAAGGGGCAGAACCTGAGAAAGAGGGTTAAAGAAAGAAAGAGAAAGGAAAAAAAGCTTCCTATAGGAAAGACAGGGCAGGAAGTGATGGGGACACCTTTCAGGTCATGGCAAACCTCAGCACAAATGTAACATAAAGTGTAGTAAAGCCCTGACTCCCCTCCTGGGTGCATCCCAGAGCAGCTCAGAGCTTTAGACTGCCTTCTCTTCTACTTTTCTCCCCTCCAAACGTGGTGACCCCAGACACTCACGCTTGGGGTAGAGATTCACTGATGAGACAAGCAGGAGTGGGGCTTTTCAGATGGAGGCAGAGGAGGGGGAGGGGCAGGTGGGTCACTCAAGTAATGGGAAGGGCTCCAGAGTCATGAGACCTAGAGATGGAAAGGAACTCAGAAAGCATAGGACTTTAGTTTTAGGGCTGAAAAGAGGACCTCTGGTTCAATCCCCGCATTTTACAAATGAGGAGACTGAGGCCCAGAGAGTAGTTTGCCCAAGGTAATAAGCAATGGGGGTAGATTTTGAACTGGGGTCCTCTGGCTGGGTGGCTTAGTGGAGAAATCTATGAGCCTGGAGTTAGGAAGCTCTGAGGTCAAATCCCGTTTCAGACACTTAGTACTTCAGTAGACCCTGGTCCTTTCAATTGCCTTCTCTGAACCTCAGTTTTCCCCTTTGTAAAATGAGTAGATTGGACTCAGCGTCCCCTAAGGTCTCTTCTAGCTTTAAGCTATGAGCCTAGGCTCCTATGGCTTCGAGATCACCTAGTTCAACTCCTTGAAAGGAAACTGAGGCCCAGAGAAGGGAATTGACTTGTCCAAAGTCACAGTGAAGACCAGGCACAGAATTTGAGTTCAGGCCTTTGGACCCTTTTAAAAAATTTAATCAATTAATTAATTAATTAGTTTGTTTGTTTATTGGACTCTTTCTGTTGCACCATATCACCTAAACTAAGGCAACCAACTCAGGAGCCTGGCCTGCAATTTCCATCCGTGGGCAGCTGTCATTGTTGTGAGAATGCTCCTGGTCTGGGGGGTCTCCTCCCTCTCTCTTGGTAGCTGTTCTAGGGCAGCCCCCTAGAACAGGGGCAGACTCTGCTCCTGGAGAGAACAGGCTGCCTTGATGGTAGCCTGTGTAAACATTTACTACTACTACTACTACTACTACTACTACTACTACTACTACTACTACTACCATTACTACTACTACTACTACTACTATTACTATTATCATTATCATGACTGGCTTCAGCATCTCCCGAGGTGAAAAGGTATAGAAGCCCATAGGATGGGAGCAGAGAGCAGAGACAAAGGGCTCCAAGAAAGCCTTCCCCACCTGGGACCTTCCTTTCTTTCCTTTTCCTTCTTTCCCAGGGGCTCTGCTTTGGCCAACACCATTTCCCAGTACATCCAGGCCATCATCCTTTTCCTGTATATCGTGGTGAAAAAACTCTACCTAGAAACATGGGGAGGTAAGGTGTTCTCTCTTTTTCTGGCCACATCCATCCAAGTGTCTCTCTGTTTATTCACCCCCTCTCCTGGCAGTATCATGCTAGCCAATCCTGCAGCACATGGTTTTTTAGATCAAGAGGCATGAGGTAAGTCTGGATATGAGGATCACAGGACTACAGCTAGAAGGGAGCTCAGAATCCCATTGACCCAACTCTTTCATTTTCCAGATGAGGAAACTGAGGACCAAGGTCACCCAGGTAGTAAGCATCAGAGGTGGGTATTGAACCCAGATCCATTGACTCTACAGCCAATGTTCTTTTCCCTGTACCGATGCCTCCTAATGAGGCATTGTGTCCTTTCAATGTTTTCTGGAACTTTCCTGCCTCATTTAATCTCCATAATAGCACTGTGAGGGAACCAGAGATTAGGATTATTCTTCCCATTTTATAGATGAGAAACCTGAGGCTAAAAATGGTTAAAAAGAGGTTAAAATGGTTAAAAGAGGTTAAAAGTTACTTGGCCAAGGTCCCAGAATAAGCTAGTGGCAAAAATGGCGCCAGAACTCAAGTCTCCTACCTCTGGTAGCGGATGAGGGGAAGTCTCCAAATTAGGTAGTGGCCTCCAATGTAAGGGTGAGACCCTACCAAAGCTGGAAATAGACTAGGGCAATTGAAGCTGTGCCCCAGGCGTTGACCTCTAAAGCGGGATATTTTCTACCCTGGGGGCTCGATTGCTGTCCTGTGTCCTTCCCCACCCCAGCACCACCTGCTCCACTGCTCTGGTCCCCAGGCTGTGGCCCAGTTATTACTTCCAGGAGTCTCCCAGCAGGCCAGGGGAATGGTCCCAGATGAGTCATCAGGCCTGAGGTCTTGGGCCACATGGGATGCCTGGGACAATGTGGGATCTGCTGGGGATGGGGCAAGGAGGATCCCCAGCAAAGCTGGTCACTAGCCCCGTGGGTGGTAGCCATTGGCCACCCTTACCTTCTAATAGCAAACTCAGCCTTGGCCCTTTCCTGTTACTGCCCCTCTTTGCCCACCATTTCTATGGCACTCACTATAACCCTATTCCTTTATTGAGCAAGAGCCAGACCACTGGATTTAGAGTCAGAAAAGCTGAGTAAGAATCCAGGTTCCACCATTCACTCCATACGAGTGCTTGGGCACTTCACTGCTCTGGATCTGTAAAATGGGTGTTAGACTAGATGGCTTTTAAGGTCCCTTTCACCTTCAAATCTAGGATTCTCTCTCCTAGATCTTTTTCTCTTGCATTTCTAGAAAAGAAGGTGTTACAGTAGGAAGAGCACTGATTCTGGAGTCAGAAGACCTGGGTTCAAATCCTACTTTTGACTTTTACGATTTCTTGATCTGTAATGCTCTGATCCTTCCATTCTAGGTTTCTCATCAGCTCTTGGCACACCCCTCCAAGGATGCTCCTCCCCTAGCTACACAAGGCCAAGAAGAGGACCTAGCACACCCTCCCTTCTAGACCCTCTCTCTGTCACCATTACTCAACAACCACCTCTCCTTTCAAGTTCATAGACTTAGAGCTCGAAGGCACCTTAGAAGTCATCCAACCCAACTGAACTTTTTACTTCCTTTTCCATTTGGCCAATTCTACTTTTTAAGGCATTCCCATCTTCATTAGATTTTGTGCCTCTTTTACCATTTGACCTATTCTACTTTTTAAGGCATTCCCATCTTCATTAGATTTTGTGCATCTTTCACCATTTGACCTATTTTTTTTAAGGCATTCTCATCTTCATTAGATTTTGTGCCTCTTTTACCATTTGACCTATTCTACTTTTTAAGGTGTTATTTTCTTCAATTTTGTGGGGCCTCATTTACCAAGCTGTTGACCATATTTTCTTCATGATTTTCTTGCATCACTGTCATTCCTTATCTCAAATTTTTCTCTGCCCATCATATTTGATTTTTAAAATCCTTTGTGAGCTCTTCCAGGAATTCTTTTTGGCCCTGAAATCAATTTACATTCTTCCGTGAGGCTTTGGATATATCAGTTTTGAATTTGTTGTCTTCTTCTGAGTAGAAGTCATGCATTCCCAGTACTTTCACTTTACATCTGAGGAAACTGAGGCTGAGAGAGGTGAAAAATAACTTACCTATGGTCACGCAGGTAGGAGACAACAGACCTGGGATTCAAACTCAGGTCTTCTGACTCTAAATCCCATGATCTTCCCATTAGACCATCACTGAGGAAGATTTCAGAGGATCCAGTAGAAAGAGAAATTAGGGGAGCATATGAATGGAGGAGGGCTAGGGCTGAGGCTCGAGTGGAGGTGAGAGGAGGATAGGGTCAGTTGCCTGACATTCTGACTCTTCCCAAGTAGCCATCTGTCCAAATCCTTATTGCTGTCATTCAGGCCCCCCAGATCACTTCACTTCTTCCCCAGCAGTTTCAGAACTGAAATTATAGTCATAGAAGATAAGAGTGATGACCTTGAAGGAAGACTTGGGTTTAAGTCCCACCTCAGATACTTACCAGATGTGTGATCCTGACTTTGTCTGGCCTCTCTGTGCCTCAGTTTCCCCATTTGTTAAGCGAGGCCTCCAAATTCTCTTCCAATTCTAAATCTGTGATCCTATGACCCAACACCCTGACTTCCTAGTTACTCCCCAACTCCCATGACCTGTGTCTCAACTACCTCAGCCATGCATGCACAGGAAATTATCATGTCTTAGCACTTCCATTGTCTCAACTGAACTTGCCTCAATTACCAGACCTGCTTCCTGACCCCCACCCCCAATTCTGGGTCCAATGGCCCCAACACTTTCCACTGTGCCATATTGCTTCTTCTGAGGCCCTTTGATCATCTTAGCTACTTTCATGTAAGGCTGGCTTTGCTGAGATTGTTCAGAAGTCCTCAGGTTGGGCCTCCTCAGGCCCCGTTTTGAGCATCCCTGTGCCAATGGATTTAAACCGCTGGGTCTGGCTGATACTGGAGGCAGGGGACAGGGAGGGGGACACCAGAAGTAGACAGAGGCCTGACCTGGCTATGCTACATGACATCACTTCAGCCCCCTTCCCTCCTTTCTCTTCTCAGGTTGGTCCCTCCAGTGCCTACAGGGGTGGGAAGCCTTCTTGTCTCTGGCCATTCCGGGCATGCTCATGATATGTATCGAGTGGTGGGCCTATGAGATCGGGAGCCTCCTCATAGGTGAGACTTTGCCATTCACAGAGCCATTGGAGGGACTAGAGGAGGGACAGGAAAGCTGTCTCCATCTATCTGGAGAGCTACCAGGGGGCAGATAGATTAGCTTTGTTCTGCTTGCCCCCAGAGGGCTGAACGAGGAACAGAGAGTGGAAGGTAGGGAAAGGTGGAGTTAGTCTTGATGTCAGGGAAAATGTCCTCTTAGTGAGAGCTGTCCATGAGTAGGATGGGCTTTCTGGGGAAGTATTATAGGATTGCAGGATAATAAGAGCTACTAAGAAGCTGTCCCTTTAACGTTTGCAAACCACTTCACAAATATTATTTCATTTTATTCTCACAACAACCCTGGGAGGTAGGTGCTGTTATTATCCCCATTTTACAGATGAGGGGACTGAGGTAGAGGTTAAGTGACTTGCCCAGGGTCACACAGTTAGTGTCTGAGGCTGAATTTGAATTCAGGTCTTCCTGACTCCAGGTCCAGAGCTCTATCCATTAACTGAGGTTTCAGCACCTTTTCTCCTCCCTAGCCCCTCTTCCTGGGGGTGGATGGCCTGTATCTGGTACATGTCAGGGAAGGCTGGCACCATCTCTGTGTTCTTCAACATTTTGTTTTTTCCTAGGTCTGCTTGGTGTGGTGGAACTGTCTGCCCAGTCCATAATTTATGAGGTGTCAGCTGTTGCATACATGGTGAGTGCACACCTTGTGTCCTTTCTGGGCCTGGAACAAAGAGGCAAAAGACCTTAAGAATCATCTCTCCCCCTTCACCTTGTAAACTTGCCCAGTCTGGTTCCTACTGGCTATGCTTGGAGACTTTAGGATCAGAGGACTCAGAGCTGGGAAACCCTTCTAGACTGTTCGGTCCAACCCCTTCTTTGACAGAAGAGGAAACTGAGGCCCAGAGAGGGTAAATGGGTTATACTAGGACACCTGGAGCTTCATTCTCAAGAGGGGGCTTGATTATAAAGTCTCCAATCCCTTCTCTCTTTAGAGCAATGTGAATTTGTTTAAAAGATATTTTTATAACTATTTCAAAATAATTGGCTTTTTTGTGTTTTATTTTGTGTATTTAAGAATATTGCAGTGAAAAGGGGCCCATAGGCTTGACCATCCTCCCAAAGGGGTTCAGGCCATTTTAAAAAAAGGCTAAGAATTCATGCTGCATTCTTTTCCAGTTTAAATCTCTGCTCAAATTGGTTAAGATATTATCCTATTTATAATTAAATTTAGTGCATTTACAGGGCTGACAGTGATGGGTGAATTTACAGGCTTGATATTTATTATCATTTTAAGGCAGAGGTGAGTTTTGCTATTAGGGCATGGGAGCAGGAACTAGCAGACCATGTAAGCCCCTTCCCTCTCCTTCTCTCTCTCTCTCTCTCTCTGTCTCTCTCTGTCTCTCTCTGTCTCTGTCTCTCTGTCTCTCTCTCTGTCTCTGTCTGTCTCTCTCCTTCTCTCTCTCTCTGTCTGTCTCTCTGTTTCTCTCTGTCTCTGTCTCTGTCTCTGTCTCTGTCTCTGTCTCTGTCTCTCTCTCTCTCCTAGTTTTCTGTCATCCAAACACTTGATAAGCATGCCATATGCCTTTATCCATTCATGAGGGGGATAAATATTCAATAGAACAGCACCATGGACAGATCCCTGGGGGCATTCTATCAGGGACCTCTCTCTAGGTTGACGTCAATCACCATTCTCGAAGCTGGCTGTCTACCAAAGACTGCCCTCCTAGCTCCTTCCCAGGATCTCCACCCCCCCCCCCCAGCTGCACTTGCCTTTTCACCTGGCTGCTTTGTTCACATCCTAGGTCTTCTCCTTCCTATGAATTCTTCATTTTAGCTAAAACATTCAGCCTTTCCCAGGGGTAAAAAGCAACCTAAAAACTTTTCCACTTCACAGCAGTTTTGTGTGGCACACATGCTCACAGAAACAGATACTTTTGCTTTTGTTTATTTTTATTGATAACTTCTGTTTTAGTATCACCTTCATTTCCAAATATATCACTCCCTTCCCCCAGTCATTGTAACAGAAGAAAAAAGAAAGGGGGAGGGGAAGGAGCTTAGCAAAGCTAACCAACACATCAATTAAACCCGACAGTTTATGCAATGTAATAAGTGCCTTTGCAAAGAAAAGAGGTAGGCCACACAGGCACTTTTAATTTCACCTTCACCTCTCTGATTCCAGATTCCTCTTGGATTGGGCTCAGCCATCTGTGTCAGAGTGGGGAATGCATTAGGTGCTGGGGACATCCATGCAGCTAAGAGATCTGCTGTTACCGGAGTGCTGTGCACGGGTATGTACGTGGGCACTTTCCAGTCCACTCCTACCCTTTGCCTCTGGACCATGGTTCATTGGACATATACCCTGTGTAGACCTAGCCAAGTGTTTCCTAATAGGACAGGGATTTTCCCCTCTGGATTTCCCCATGTTTCAGGATGGATTTGGGGTTAATGTAATCACTGCTGTAATTTTCCCCTATGACCCAGATCCAATCTGATCACTCTGCTCCCATTTTACAGGGAATTCTTGCCTCCCACAAAGGCCCCTTTTGGGGGGAAATCAGAATTTGTGATTTCATTTGTTCTTTTCATTGTGATTTCATTCACTCCCTCTACAAAGACCAATCAATAAGTCACTGCTCTGTAGCCTCTAGTCTTTCTTAGAGGGTCACCTGAAGCATTGAGAGGCTAAAGGACTTGGCCAGGACCACAGATACATTATGTGTCTGAGGTGAGACTCGAAGCTAGTTCTGTCTCTGAAGCTGGAACTCTATCTCCTATGTACCACCAAGCTTCTCTGTCAAGGCCCCTGCTGGACAAATTTGTGATGTGAGTCAGGTTTATTTTAGACCCCTCTCCAGGGCACCAGTGTTCTTGAGCTCCTTTGATAATGGAGAGCTGGAAAAGACCTCAGAGGATCAAGGCAACCCTTTGTTTCACATATGAGGAAACTGAGGCCCAGGGAGGTCACATGGTCATTGGCACTAAGCTAGAAAGGCCTTTAGAGGCCATCAAGTCAAAATCCATCATTCTACAGATAAGGAAACTGAGGCCCAAGTCCATACTATAATACTTGCCCCTCCCCCCCCCCAGTGGCAACATATGCTCTGGACCTTCCCTAAATGCCCCTCTCTCTTTTCACCACCAAAATAGCCACATCTCATATCCCATTTCCTCAGAGTACTACTCCCTTTCCTGACACTAGTTCATCAGGTGAGCTCATCCAGAGAGATGACACGCTGTCCTTCCCAGGAAGCGTGTTTGCTCCGGACAAGTATGCCTCTCAGAGCTGTAATCACAAGCACCACCGGGATTTTGACTCAGGCTGCCGATAATCGGGAAGGGAGAGGGAGTGACGGGAGGGAGGCAGCAAGTTTCCGTGGGGAGGGCGGTAGAGCCTGCACTTCCTGCTTGTGGAAGCCACTCTCTCTGGGACTTACCTCCCCCTGCTCAGGCTGTCATCTCCAGCATCTTGTCACCCCGGGACCTATCTTTGCCAACTCCAGAGAAGCAAGGATTGCACTGTGGATGGAGAATCATCTGCTTCCACCAGTGGCTGAACCGTCCTTGGAACCACACACACACACACACACACACACACACACACACACACACACACAGGCTTCCCCCTTCCCCTTCCCACATTCACCTGAATTTGCCTCAGGTACTAGGTTTGGTAATCACAGCTCTGGGCTCTCCAGAAACACAGTAACTTGATTTACCCAATGCCAGGAACTTCACTCTCCATGACAGAATCCCCTCCCACCAATCCAGAATTTAGGGAGCATTTATAGGCACCAGGGATGCATCCACTTCTTATCCACCTTCTGATCCACATTTATCCAGCACTTCCTCCTTGCTAGGCATTGTGGGTACAAAGGCAAAAATGCTCCCGAGGAATTTATCATCTAATAAGGGATCATAAGATTTATTTATTTTATTTTTTGCTGAGGCAATCAGGGTTCAGCGACTTGCCCAGGGTCACACAGCTAGTTAAGTGTCCAGTGTCTGAGGCCAGATTTGAACTCAGGTCCTCCTGACTCCAAGACTGGAACTCTATCCAAGGTGCCAGGATCACAAGATCTAAAGCTGAAAGAGATCTCAGAGGTCTACCAGGTCAATCCCGAATCCAAGTGACCTGGGGCAAGTCCCTTAGCTAATTGAAACTGGAATTTCCACATCTGTGAAGTGAGGGAGTTGGGCAAGATGGTCTCACAAAGTCCTTTCAGTTCTAGAGCTTTGATCATATGACCCCTCACTTCAGAGAGGAAGAAAGTGAAGTCCTTGGAGTTTGTGACTCACCCAAGACTATAAGAAGCTAAGCTGGGTTTCCAGCCCTGGTGCTCTGACTCAGACCCGGCATCCTTTCCAACACAACTCACTGCCTCTACTGGGATAGAAGATGCCTGCAGATAAGAGGCATCCTGGCTCAGTGGAAAGACCAGTGGCTCTGTGTCCAAAGACCCGAGTTAAAATCCTTTCTCTGATGCTTAATATCTACATGACCTTGGCTAAGTAACTTTTCTCCAGGCCTCAGTCTTACTGTCTGTAAAATGAGGGGATTGGGCTAGATGGCCTTTGAGGTACCTTCCAAGTTCTATTAATGCAGCCTAAGAGCATGCTATCTTTTTTTTAAGCCACCATGTCATTGACGTTATAGACTCTCAGGTTTTTTTCAGAGGAATTGTTGTTTAGCCACATCTACTGCCCCCTAGCCCATCTTGTCCTACTCAGTCTGTGATCCACTGAGGGTAGAGTGTGATGGGAACAAAGGAGAGACCCAAATAGAGTGCTTGAGGGAAATCTGAGGGGGAGATCAATCACAGAAGGTTTCATGGAGGAGGCGGTGTCTTAGCTTCCTTTCCCTCCCTTTGGGGGACAAACAGTGCACAGTGAAAATGGTTCTGGAGCGGCCCAGTCACATACGCTAAGTCAAGGTGTCATTGTTTTTCCTTTGTAATGGCAAGCACCCTGAAGGAAAGCTAGCTCAAGTAAGAGAATGTCCCAGGGGCTGCAGGCAGTAACAGGGAGGCTGGGGCTTGGCGGGCCCATTTCTAATGCTTCTTTTCTTGTCTCTCCTTTTCAGTTGGCATCTTTTTAGTCATTGGCTCCCTGTTAGCCATCTTAAAGGATATCCTGGGAAGAATTTTTACCGATGATGAGTAGGTAATCGATAGCCCTACACCCCTGAGCAAACACCCCACATGGGTCCCTACTTAGCTCTGGGAGGGCTCCTTGAGGCATCTTCATATATGCACACTAAAGGTGCATGTCTGACTGCCTCTTTGTCTCCGACATTTTAAGGTGTGTTGCCTGGTGTTTGGAGTGGAAATGGAGATATCAACACTCAATAAGCCCATGTTAAGTGCCAGGCACTGTTAAGCTCTAGGGATACAAATACAGGCAATCAGCATGCATTTATTAAGTGCTTACTCTGTGCCAGACCCTATTAAGTTTTGGGGATATATAGTCAGGTAGTCAAAAAGCATTTATTTTGTACTTACTATGTGTCAGATCCTGTGAGGTTTCAGGGATATCATCAGGTAGAAAAAAATCATTTACTTTGTGTTTACTATGTGCCCAGATCCTGTTAGGTTTGGGGGATATCAATATAATCACTCAGTCAGTCAACAAGCATTCATTAAGTACTTATTATGTGCCTGGCAAAGTGAAAAATGCTGGGAATACTAAGAGAGGCAAAAATACAGCTCCTCCCCTCAAGAAGCTCACATTCTAATGGTGAAGAACAAAATGAGACAGTCTCCCCTGCAAGAGGATTATGTACTACTTGGAGGATATAAAACCTGTCAACCAATTAACAAGCATCTATTAAATGTCTTTTATGGGTCAGTTCCTGGGCTGTGCTCAGCCCTAGGGTACAAAGGATGAGAGTCTCTACCTCTCAGCTTCTCTTCTACTAGAGACGTGTATGTTTATACCTAAGTAAGTATATACTCTGTTAGAGAAAGGGCCCGGATCTGTGATTCCACTGTTATAATCACTTCTAGGTGGGGAAACTCCTTTTGCCAAAGCAAGCTAGTAATTTTACCACAACTTCCAGTCTTAGACTAGGGCGCTTTGGTCAACTGGGGCAGCCTGTTGACCCCTTCTCGTAACAATGTCTATAATTTGAAATAAAATACGTAAGATTACACAAAGGAAGACAATTATATTGAAATAAAGATGTCATTGTTTTCCATCCAAGTCCATGGACCCCCTGAAATCCAGCTCTGATTAAAAACCTGTATCTTACAGGGTTGCCTAGATTCCTAAAAAGTTAGATGATTTTCCCAGGCTCACAAAGACAGCATATGTCCAGAAGGACCCAATCCTAGGTCTTCCTGGCTCAAGGCTAGCTCTCTCTGTCTCTGTGTGTGTGTGTGTGTGTGTGTCTTTCTGTCTCTCCTCTCTCTTCTCTCTGTCTCCCTCTCTTCTCTGTCTCTCTTTCTCTCTGTCCCTCTCTCTCCTGTCTCTCTTTTCTTTGTCCCTCTCTCTCTCTCAGATATGTGTTTGTATCTATCATACATATATGCATGTATATATGTATACACACATATGGGGGGATGTCTCACCTGATGTCTCAGCTTTCTTTCTCTCATCAACGCTTCTCAGTGGGCAGGGCAGGTGTAACCTGGCTGCTGAGCACACAGTTTGATAGCCCTCAATGAATTCCTCTTTCAATTTCCCATTCCTCTTGCAGAGAAGTCAATGCCCTGGTGAGCTGGGTCATGCCTGTCTATATTGTCTATAACCTGTTTGAGTCACTCTGTGTAAGTATATTTCTGAGCTCTGGGCCAGCTCCCTCCCTCCCCAAACCATCCCAGGCGAGTGGCCTCTCCCCCACTACCCCTCTCTCCTCCTCTACCCAAGGCCTCCTCTGGGAAGCTTCCAAACCCAACCCCCTCCTTAGCTTTGCTTCTCTCTTGCTGCTCCCCCGAGCCACATGGAGAAAGTGGATGTACTGAAGGAAGCCCCGTCTCCCTGACTCCTGAACCTCAAGGGCCAGGGAGGATCGAAGGTTTCTCCCCTGCCTGAGGACAACTACCAATAACTCAAAACTAGGGCCAGCCCCCTGCCCAGGGATCCTGGTCAGTGACTGAGGGAAGAATCAACCCATTCTAAGAAAGGCACAGTATCATAAGGGACCCTAGAGCTTGTCTAGTCTAACCCTGTCATTATGATGACAGATGAGGAAACTGAGGCAAAATACTCTAAGGTTTGCAAAATACTTCACAGAAATTGTTTCATTTGATCCTCACAACAACTTTGTGATAATAATAGCTAACACTGATTGCGCTTCAAGGTTACAGAAGAACTTTATGTATACCATCTCATTTGATACTCCTGTAAGGAAAGGGCTATTGATGTTCCCATTTTACAGATGAGGGAACTGAGGCTAAGAGACGTGAGATGACTTGGCCCAGGGTCAGAGAGCTAGGAAGTGTCTGAGGTAGGATTTGAACTCAGATCTGCCTGATTCTAAGTCCTGACATTCTTTCCACCATGCCACCCTGCCTAGTAGTATCAGCCAATCAGAAATAGAATTTTAACTCAGTTTTCTGGTTCCAGAGCAAGTCAATGGGCTGCCAGGTACCATATATTATGGGGTATGATCAGAGCCAGGGTGAGAAAGCAGTATGACAAAGTATCCTGAAGGCTTGTCTCAAAGTCAGAAAAACCTGTGCCCAAGTCTGCAAAATGGGTACAAAACTACCTCTAGCATTGACCTCACAGGTTGGATGTGAGATTCAAGCAAGATATTGTGGGTAGAGCCTTATAATGCCTGCCTATTATTGCCATCATTTTTATTGTAATTACTTCCCTGGGGCTCATTCTAAGGCTTCATTTGTCCTTTCCTGGGGCAGTGGAAAGCTTACTGGGATTTAGAACCAAAACTGCTGTCCAAATTTCAGCTGTTACTACTTACTACTTGTGTGACTTCAGACTTGACTTCACTGGGCTTTTGTGTCCTCACTGTAAGATGATGGTGATGGATTCGATGGTCTCTGAGTTCCATTCTATCATCCGAGGATCAGAAGTCCCCCAAACCTCATTGGGTCTCAGTTTCCTTATCTGTAAAATGAGGGCTAGATTGCCCTTCTAGATGGCTAATCTCCCAACTCTTCTCTTTTGTTTCCCCAACAGTGTGTTTGCGGTGCAGTGTTGAGAGGAACCGGCAGGCTGGTCTTTGGGGCTACTGTGAATGCCATAGCCTATTATGGTATTGGTCTCCCAATTGGGGCCGTGTTGGTATTTGTGATTAAAATTGGAGTCATGGGTACGTGAAATATCTGATGAAGCAAGTAGGTAGAGGGGTTGGGGCGCCACTGAGTGCCATTTCCCGTGAGTCTTTTTCTTGCAGGCCTCTGGCTGGGGATGCTGGTCTGTGTTATCTTGGCAACCATTACCTTCATCATCTACACTGCCAGGATTAACTGGAAGCTGGCTTCAGAGGAGGTAATCAGGGGGCGCTTTGATGCCTGGCATCATGCCAGGAACACAGTGACATTCATAATAGGCACTCGTATTTGGAAGGGGAAAAGAGAAGCAGACTGTGGGTGTGGGTGTGTCTGATCAGCAGGTATTGGGTGGAATCTGGCAGAGAGCCCACGGAGCTCCCAATCCATTGCAGGTCATTCCAGGGCCAACAGACTCTATCCTCCCCAGTGGATTACCCACCTCCTTTGAAATGGCCTCAAGGACCTTGCAGAAAACTGATCATGGCCTCCAGTCAGTCATGTTCCAAGTATTAGCTCAAGCTATCTATATTTCATAGCAAGTACAGATGAATTGCCTCCTTGGGCTACTGACTTCTTCAGGTGTAAGAGGAGTACGTTTCATGAGAAAATATTCCCATCGTGCTTTGGAAGTATCTTATTTTCCCAAACAGGCATAGTGGACCCTAGCATGGATCAGGGAGGGGACAAGGTTAAGCAGATGGTCATGGGTTCTTCCCTTGTGAAAAGGGGTGGAGACTAGCACAGAGGTGTGTTTTCTCCTGAAACAAGGATGGCAGCACAGCCCCATTCCATCTAATCAGTACGTCATTTGACCTCTGGATTAATCTGCCTGAATGCATAGACCTGGCCATGTCACTCTTGGGCTCAAAAATCTTCAGTGGCTCCCCACTGCCTGCTGAGAAAAGTTTAACTTCCTTTGCTTGACTTTCAAAGTCATGTTATCTGGCACCCCACTGTCTTTCTAGCCTTGCCAAATGGGCATCCTTTGAGGCACCCTACAATTCAACCCAACTACACTGCTTGGATCCCTGAGCACATGCTGCAGGTTCTTCCACCTGTTAAATTCCCCTCCAGCCTTTAAAACTCAGCTCAGAAGAAGTCTATCTCGTCTTGTAGAAAGTTTCCCTGATCCCCACATTCTCTGTCAGGCTCAGGTCTTATGTAGCCACTTTGCACTTTTTCTGCACACTCCCCCCAAAATAGATTTACCTTGTAAAATTATTTATTAGTTATCTGAGTTTGTGTCTTGTTCTGCTCCTAGACAGTGAGCTCCTTGAAGGCAGGAATTACCTCTTACATCTTACCTAAAATCACACATCCCCTAGTTCCCAGTAGACTAATCTACCTATAGGAGACACTTAATAGCAGTGTTGTTAAGTTAAATTTAAATTAATCAGGAATGAAACTAGACAAGGAAATTTGGCAGAAGCCAGCTGCAGAATACATGGGTTTCTTTTATCTTCATTTTATTCTACAAACTTTAATCAGCAACAACTTCAATTTCAGTATTTTATAGGATCCTTGAACTAAAGCTGGAAAGGGCCTTGGGGAGCACCTAGTTAGACCTCATTTCACAGATAAGGAAACTGAGGCCCAGAAGGACTGAGTCATTCATCCAGGGTCACAGAGCTGGGACACAAGTCCAGCTCTCCTGAGCACAAGTCTGATGGTCTTCCCACTGACTTCTCTTTCTCCCCCTAAATTCCTATTTTGTGCAGGCATTGCGGAAGCCCTTGGAGATAAGACCCAGTCCCTGCCCTCAGGGAGGCTCATAGTCTAGGGGTCAGTTAGACTGGGTGACTGCTACCTTTCCAGCTCTAGATCCAGGATCCATAGCATTGGAGAAGTGGCCACATGAGAAACGCCTTCTCTGACAAGTTTAAGGAAAGAGGGGCACCTGTTAATTAAAGTTTAAGAAGAGTTCTGTCTAAAGGCAGGAGGATAGAAGAAATGACCTCCCAAGGTGACTTCAAGTTTCACATGCCTCAGCTTTTGTTGCCTCCTGGACCCTCCTGTCCAGCGTGGCTCCTCCAAGGTCACTGGGTAACACAGGAGGAAACCTGAAAGTATCTACGTGGCTTACTGAATCTATGTGCTCGGACAGACGCAGCGGAGGGTCCACGGACAGACAGCTTCAGTTCAACTCACCTTTCCAAACGTTAAGCCCTGTCTCACTTCCCTGGCACACGCCTCAGCTCCCTGAACACCCTTTCCCCAATCCCTTCTGGGTCCTTATGTGCCTTATTATTCATAGCTGTGTGACCACTGGCCAGTTCCCTAATCTGAGTCTCACAGCCTCATCTAAACAGGCGATAATGATACCTACAGAATCTGCCTCCCACATTTTAAGACAAGCATTTAAGAAGCTAATCACACGGACATACTCTTGCGACTGTTACGGGATGGAAAGAGGGGAAGCCGGAGGCCACTAGCTGACTAACGCTGGTACGATTTAATCACTAGGCTCAGAAACGTGCCGGCCTTCACCAAGAGTCCCAGAGCACAAGCCCCGGGCAGGGGCCAAAGAAGGTGGCCCTTTCCTCAGGTAACACTCACTGCTTCTTCTTCTCAAACAGAATGTCAATGTGACTTTAATTTTTGCAAGTCAAGCACGCCAAGCCAATCAAGAGTGCCCAGTAATCCTTGACTGTGTGCATGCATGTATGCATGTGTGCATTCCGGATGATCAGTGTTTAAAAACAGGCTGATTTTGCATCTCCCCTGCCATTTCTATCAGACTGAATCAATCCTTCCTGTTGCACTGTCAGGGTTAGGGTCTCCCTCACCTCTTTTCCTTGGACCATATGGGTACAATGGCATCCCTCAACAACAGGTATCAGTGAGTGTTTCAGAGTGCTTGGGCCTAGGGCAGATGAACAGTAGACTGGTAGAAGATCTTATTGGGTGTGGTCACGTGTCGTCCTAACAAAGCACAGGACAGCGTCCCAGGTTACAACAGGATTCGGCTGTGTTCTCCTGAGGCAGCAGTTAATACCCAAAGGACATGCATTATTTTATGTCCTACACTGTTAAGTTCCCAAGGGAGCCTGGATAGCACCAATCATAGCAACACAGGCTGATGGGAAATTAATAAGAAGTTGCCATAGCAACATGTATAAAATTAAAGGTGTACATATAGAAAAGCACCATGGCTTAGCGGATACGTGGGAGATGTGGGGTCAGCAAGTCCAAAGTCCGAATCTTGCCCTCTTACTAGGAATGAGCCTTTTGGTAAATCTTTTAAACTCTGTGAGCTCCAATAACTCCCTAGAACTTATCTACTAAGTCAAACATGGACTGTGATCTCCTTGGTAGAGGGAGCTGTTCACAATGATGAAAACGAAGGCCCTTCACCTCTTCCAATGCATTCATGTCAATCCCATTTCAGTGCCACGTTCAGACATAAATTACTCTTAGTAACACCACCTATTATTTGTGACCTTGAGCAAGTCAATTCACCTCAATGAGCCTCAGTTTCCTCAACTGTAAAGTGAATGCTGGATTAGGAGGTCTCCATAATCCCTTTTGGCTCTGAATCTATGAAACTTAGAACCTTTCCATTTATGGACTGCTTTTGCTTTTCAAAGCAAAATCCTTTGACAGCCATCTGAAACGCCCATCTTCCAGGAAAGTCCTCTTTCCATGGTTCATGAAGATGTGGAGGTGGCTCTAGGCTCTTGACATCTATGTCACCTAAGTGTAAGCTCCCATGGGTCCTACCCAGGTTGGAAAGCTTTGGAGTAGGGGTGACTGTATCTGTCACCCAATGACCACCATAGCTGAATGCAGAGAAGCTCATGACCCAGAGAGCTGGCCATCAAGGTAGCACATTTTTCAGTTACAATGACTGGCCATCAAAGCATGAGGGAACTAGGATCTTTCATTGATTAAAAAAAAAGTTAAGTAGCCACACTAATGAAGTCACAGATTCTTGTATTTATCACATCCCCCATTTTTTAAAATGGGGAGATTGCTGCTCAGAGGTAAATTCACTTGCCCAAGGTCACATAGCTCCTAAAGAGAAGAGCTCAGACTCAAATCCAGGTGTTTCGATTCTCAGTTCAACGCCTTTTCCATTTTGCTCTGCTACTTATGACCCTCTCTTTGGGTTGTTCATTTCCCCAGTGGCTACAGGTAGCAACCCTGGAATTATTTTGACGAGGTACTCAAAAACCGAGAGTCAGGCAGACCTCTTACCACCTCTGGAAGCAACATCCACCTTTTCTGCTGCCTGCAACGTGCCATCACTAAAGCAGTTGGCCGTCCGCCGGGGGATTTCTCTTCTGGTCTCTGTCACAGTGCTGATTCTAGGGGTCGTGGTCAGGCTCACGACTACCAAGCACTAGCAAGATCTGCCCTTCTGGAAACTGAGGCATCCTAGAAGAGTGGCCTTGGGACAGTACAACAGGGGTCCATTCTATAGGAATACGGGTGATATCCTGAGGTACCGAAAACCTCTTTTTTATAAACACTGGTGTCCATTAGTGCTTCATGGGAACCCAAAACACTTTACTTCTGGCTTGCAGGAGTTTGGGCCTCCAAGTAGGTCTGCCATGGTCAGAGGGAATGTCAAAGTGAAACTGCCTCCCTCCCTCAAACCTGGACTGCCATTTGAAATACTTAACAAACTTGAACTGAAATCTTGAGGACTCTTAAAGCTATTTCCAAGTATGAATGGGTTCAAATTATAAACATTTGTTCCAGAACACACTAGTCACCAAGTTAAAGAAACCGTTTCTATAGGAGATGCTCTGCTGCCTGGGTTATCTGTAAAGTCTCTTTGCGGCTGTTTACATGCTCCTGGGCCACACGTTCTAGGCCAACAAGGCCCTGCCACACCACCATGGGTGCTCAGGATGCTTTATTCCATACCACCATCCTCTTGGGGGGGACAGGGTGGGTCTTGGGAATGTTCTCTTCGGAAATCACATTCAGAAGTATTCTAATCATACAGTTCATCAGAAATTCTCCGAAGCCTTTGCCACCAACTTTTTCTCCTCATAGCAATGATGATGCACCCAAGAGCAGCAAGGACTTTTCAGTCATCTGCAGACTACTTTCAACTACAAGAATCCTATTTCAGGGTTGGCCTAAATCCACTTTGCTCGTTTAAGGTCCTAGCTTTATTCCAGTGTCCTGGAACACAAAGGACACAATGAAAGACTGATATTATCTTTTAGGGGCATCTTAAGAAGAATCTAGGGTAGCTTAGAGAACGTAAGGTCCCCCTTCCCCCTCAAAGTGAGCTCCTGAAGCCAGAGAAGCAATGTGATGTGTTCAAGGTTAAGCAGAAAGCTGCCCAGTTTCAGGTCAGCACTGCTGCAGGATTTCCTCCCAGGCTTTAGCTAGAAGCACATCCCAACAAGCAGGACAAATGCAAATACAGAGTGCAAGAGTGCCTCAAAGGTCTTGGGATAGCTTTAAGCTTTAACAGCTGACTTTTGGGACACACTGCACTTCTATGAAAATTTTTTTATACCACAAATTAAACAATGTCCCCCATGTCCACAGACTTACAGAAAGAGTTTTAAAAGATACTGAGTCTCCTTGCCCTATGACAGAAATACTACTGTCATGTCCTACCGTAAAATGACCAGTTACTTTGCTGGAAATAGAAATACTTGGGTTAGGTGTGTCTCATAAATAAGCCTACAGCTAGGAGACATTTACCACCAAAGTTTCCTCATATTCTCAGTGTCTCCAAGGTTCTCAGCTAAGGGGAAAAAAACAAACATCTTGAGTACTATTTAAAATTCATCTTAATTTTATTAATTATAATAAAGATTTTTAACTAGTAACCAGGCAGCTGTTAAGTTTCACCAAAAAGGCAAACGCAATAGATAATTTTGATATGCTAAGTCAAAACAGTTTTAAAGCCCATGTCTAACATTGTTAAGGTAATTGACTAAAAGTCATCATTCAGTTAACCAGTTCTATTCCCTAAAGCAAGCTAATGATTACCGGTAGTACATGAAACTTTACCAGCAGATTATACCTATGCCTGAATAGATTCAATCCAGCAAAGTGGTCAATGAAGTAAGCCTCTAAGGGAAATTTCATTTCTCCCTTAAGATCACCATGGATTTAAGATTTTAAATTTGAAGATGTATTCAGATGAAGAAAACCTCCTCAGTATTAAGCATGCAAGGGTGGCTAGTGCCGTGGGATCCTGAGTTACCAGATCACCCCTGCGTAGCCTGGCAGGCTGGCAGCCTTAGCACCATTGCATGCCCACACAAGCCGGTACAATGGCAGATGCAGAGTCAGTCCTCGTTGCTACTCTTGCTGACCCCTGGGGATTCAGATTTCACCCTCCTGGCTTCTGGAATTCTCTCTCCTCACTGACCTGGCTGGTTACTGATGGTGTCTAATGGGGGGGACACTATAACATTAAACACGGCTCTGACTTGGGCTGTCATACACCACATGATGTTCTCCAGCCTGAACATTCCTTCCGTTTAAGACATCAGTTTCAGTAAAATGATTTGGTGCTCCATTTTATTCAAAGATGGAAATTTGGCTTTAAAACACATTATAAAGCACAAGTTGCTTGCATTTGGGCATATATAATTTGAAAACAGAGATTAAACTTGTCTTGGGTTGCCAAACCTCTGTTCACAACACCAGCGCTGGGGAGCTGGATCTGAGGGAAGGGGCTTTTTTAGTGGCATAAAAAGCAGCTTGACTGAGGGCCCCACAACAAGGGATCGATATGTAAAAGCTGCCCTCTGTGGTGGCTGGCAGCCTCACTGAAGGCCTATGCATTAACTCTGGCTGCCAAAAGCCCGGAGTTAGCTACAGCGCAAACTGCTCCTAGGTGAAACACAAAATATGACAGGAGCCAACTTATGGACCACTGTTCTCTGTGAAGACCTTGATTGTGAAATAAACGTAGTTGTTTACTCTGTAAAGGATACCTGTGTTCACAAACAGGACAGCGACTGAGTTCTTTGAGTGTAGCCAAGTTCAAAGCTCCCTGCAACCCTCTGGGCCTCTTTACTGGCTGCAGTTCTAATGCCCTCAAAACCTGAGTGTAGCAAACGGGAAGATCCTGTGTCCCTCTAATCTGACATCATGTGGGGTTACAAGGCACTGATCTAAGATTGCTTCTCTTCTGAGCTACACTGAAGAAGACCAGGTTCCACACTAAGGGCCTCAGGCCAGGAGGGACTCTTTCAAAGGCCCTGCCCACACCCTGCCCCCGCTTACGTTCCAACAGAGCCTAGGAGTGGGGGCGGGGCCGAGAGGGAAGACTCCCACCTAAAGCACCCCTTTCTCCTCAATCCTTTAACAAACTCAATTCCTAATAAACTCAGTCTGGAACATTTACCTCAAATGGCCTCATTGCTAGAAGAATTTGGAGATGTGACTGAAATGGCAGGTTTTTAGGAGATAAATAGTAGTCTGCTTTAAGGTTAATCATCTTTGCACTTTTATATTAATATTTTTTAACAGGAATACATTTGTTCATGAATCAGGGAACCAAAGTAGAAATCCAGTAAAGACAACTTGCAAGTTGAACCTCAGCCATCTTTAGTAGTATTGAAACTGTAAAGAGAAAAGAGAGATGAGGGTTAATTTATTGTTTTGAATAAGGAAATAAACTACTTCATTAGTAATCTCAAAACAAGGGTTTATCAATGACATTCTACCACATAGTGCCTTTCATAAGAGGATCTAAAAATATTTTTCAAATAAGGCCAAAACGTCTCTAGAAAATGTGTTGGTTTTATGTTTTTTAGTGAAACCCAAGGCTAAGTTTCCTTTCAGCTGCCAGAGGTTCGATCCAATGCGGAAGTGACCCCAGGACCTTTGCCTCTCTGAACCAGTCCATACCAACAACTGAAAAACTGACCTGTCCTTCTCAACTAAAACACTTCAAAATGAGCAATTTTTGTTTTTAAAATTCAAAATATGTGTCCAGGACTCACTAAACCTGATTCATGCCTTTGAGGCCCAAAGCAGAGCACTTTTATAATCAAGAATGCTCAAATGATCTATTCTTCAGGGGTTCTCCAGCTTCTGTACATTTTACATTTCTCGTTCAGAGCACTCAAAACACATTCCGCCAACTGAAAAGGCCTGAAGTAAAACCCCCAGAAGTGTATGCTTAAATGGGTGATAACGAATTCCAGAAAAACAATTATGGAAAAATGAGAAACCACCATAAATGCCACCATAAATGCAGAAGAGGAAATAAAGCAGATACAGTATCTGAGCCTGACTCAGTTGTTCAAAGTAAGTGACAGGAAGAAAAGGGTGAAAAGTTAAACATCCAAGGAGGGAACAAGGCTGTGAGAAAGCACAAACCACCAGCCAGCTTCCAGATTAGCCCTTAGTGAGCTGTACAATGGGTGATTTTAACAGAACCACGGCATGTTAACACGGAAAGAGACCTTGGAGGGATCATCCAGGGTATGTCCCCCATGGGACAAGGAAGAACATGGAAGCCCAGAAAGCACAAGGACTCACTCAGAGTCACAAAGCAGGGTGGGAACTAAGCTAGAATCAGCACTCAGACCACCAGCTCCCAGGTCAGGACTTTTCCCACTAAACCACTCTGCATCTCTTGTGTGGAAAAGAAAAGAGCCAGGCAAACCAAGGTAGGTCTGGAGGAAAATCAGACTGGTGCCAACACTGCAGCCGCACTGCGCGCAGGCCAATCTGAAGGCCACAAGAACGTGAACCCTATCGCTCCTTTCCTCTAGACTCCCTGCGGCCAACAAGCTACCTATGAGACTGAGACACTGAGTATGCACGAGTGAGACTCAGAAGTGGCCTGAAACCCAAGGGGAGAGGACGACAGCCACTCCTACAGTTGCCGAACAGGCCCCCGTAGCCTTCCTAACTGCAGTTTCCCAAATGAACAGACTACCTGGAGACTTTAAGGGACTGGTCCCAACCACAGTCAGGATCACAGCACAATTCAAAAGGGGGCAAGAAATTGAGTTTGAATGAAAATAAACAGTAATGTCAGTTCCTATGTGTACATCCATCCTCCCGGAAAGGCTAACGGATAGGCAACTGAGCACCACTACAGGGCCAGGGCCTCCCTCCAGCCTGCTGCCCCAGAGCCCTTCTGACTCCTGGCACCTGGAGGTGTCCAATGGTACACTAATGCACATATTCTACATTATCTTTGCAAATCTAATTTTTATTTTCTATGTTGTTTTAAAAAAAGTCTGTAATTAAATTGAAAATCTGACTATAAGGGGCCAACCCCCAATGCAATGAGTCTAGAGCTGAGAGGAGGCCCCTCCCCGCCCAACATGGGTAAAAAGGAATAAGGAATTCCTACCTCTCTTTAACCGACAGTGCTGCCTTTGGCAATCCGCCGTTCCTCACTGTTTATTGGACCAATGAAGTCTGTGAATTACCAGAAAAATCAACAGGGCCTTTCTCCTCAGCACAGCTTGGTATCTCTGAGAAGACCCAAATGATTCAAAATGCAACTTGCATCCCTCACTCCCAAAAAGGTACAATGGGGTGAGGGAAGTCAAAACTCTTTCAGAACTAAACAAACACACACACACACACACACACACACACACACACACACAAATAGAAACAGAAATCTATTAAACATTGAGTTATCACTGAAACGGTCGTCTTCATGCTCTTCAGCCTTCTCCTGCACCAGTCGGGTCACAGACATGCCCTGCCCTAACCCTACACTGGGGTCTGCTTCCCTCCAGCCACTCTTCCCCTCTAAGCCCTCAGGATCACAGAGTAGCACAGACCAGCTGTCTGAGGATGCTTCTGGCACCCACCACTACAGTCACAAAGAGCGTGATCCAAATCAAGCTTTACTGAGAGAGACAGAGACAGATACAGAAAGAGAGCACGAAAGAGAAAGGATATCCACCCAATCCAGTCACATGCTTAATTGGCCATCTTTCACCAAAGTCACTTGCCAAGTCATTATTTGCTCTTCCATGAATTCCTCTGCTAATCCTACCCAGCTGAAAATATAACTCTCCCCTACTTCAATTGCCGAAATGAAAACTGTTGATGACAGGCTCATTACCTGCACAGCCAATCTGAATGCACCTTTCCCCTCCACAACCAGCTCAGGACTTCACTCCATACAAAATTAAGGCTATTTACCCTGGGCTCTCTCTTCTCTCCCTCTCCTGGTCTTCCATTTCCCTAACACCATATTTAATAGCTCCTTCCCTCCAATTTGTGATGATGGGGGGCTCTTTCTGCCAAAGCCAGCTCCTCCCGTCTCTGTTAGCAGACCACCCGAGCTGGGACCCCGCCTTTCTTTCCAGTCTTCGGTCAGTATCTATCTCCTGGCTCCCCCTCCCGCCTCCCCCCTCCCTGCCTACAAACATGCCCCAGTCCCTCCCATCCTCAGCCCTCACAACAACCAAGTCACATGAAGTTCCTCCCTTCTCAGCTAAACTCGGAAAAAGCTGTCTACAATCAGTGACTTGACTTCCTCTCCTTTTACTCTCTTCTAAACCCTCTGCAGTCTGGCTCCCAACCTCATGGCTCTCTGGCTTACTAGAACTGCTCTCTCCTGAGTTACCACCTTGCCAACATTTCCCCTCTGACACTGCTCCCACCCTGTATCAGGCTCTCTAATGGTCTCTTTGATCCTAACCACTTCTCCCTAGCCGCCAACGCAATCTTCCTAAAGTGTGGATCTGACCATGTCATTGTCCCCCTCCTTCCCACTCAGACTCCAGCTGTTCTTGTCAAATAGCAATGTCTCCATTTGGCGTTTAAAGCTCTTCACAACCTGGCCCTTTCCTATCTTCCTAGCATCTGTGTGCGGCTACTTCTGCCTTCCCTTCTAAGATCCTTCTGGATCTACTCCATCTGTCCTGTATACACCAACTACCTAGCACATAATCAGAAGCACCTAATAAATGTCTATTAATTGACTAATGCAGTTTATCCATACAGCCTCAACTTGACTTAGATTTCAATTCACATAAGAGCAAAAGGCTCAGAATGTCAACCTCTGCCCATTTGTTTTAAAGCTCTAAAGTTTAATATGCTTACAAAAAGAAAACACGAGATATAGACCAAAAAACCACCCTTAAAAAAGCAGAAAAATGAGAGATTCACCAGTCATTTGAAGGAAAGAATGAGACTTCAACTATGCTTTTACAACAAGGAAAGAATACTCACTTTTACAGCTATGGCAACTAGGACACCCAGAAAAGTCAGAAAGAAGAGACCAACTCTGCCTTTGTTGAAGCTTTTCAAGAGGAAGAATCTGGCCCAGTCTACCTTGGACTGGCTATTTGGTGGGTATCTGAGCTTGTTGGCACCTTCCATCTTTAACTTCTTTATTAGGCATGATCGGTGATGGGAGAAGGTGTCAAAACTGTGTTTTCCATGATATGCACCCATCCCACTATTACCTAGAATCCAAGGAAAAAACAACCATGAGTTAACAAGCATTTCTTGAGCATACACAGTGTGCAAAATCCACTCCTGAGCACAATACACAAGACAGGGATATGACCCCTGCCTTCAAGGAGCTTAAATTATGACTGAAGTGAGTTGCAATGAGGCAACTTGTAGAGAAATTCTTATGTTTAAAATGGGGATGAATCCAAATCTCTTCTGTCTACTTCACAAGACTGTGTTAAGGATTAACTGAGATAGTCTGTGAGAGTTGAAATATGAAAACAAATGGCAAGTGAAATGATCATTATTATAGAAATGATAGTGAAATGAGATGTTTTTCTCAGGGGCTCAGAGGAAACTGCAGTCATGGAGTGCTTGATTCACAGTTAACAGAAAATCTGGTTTGGAAGCTGTTTTCTGTAGAATAATGCTAGATCCACGTTACTCCAATTGGAGGTCATGTTTCAACTATGATGAAATTCCCAGGAGGTAGTTGGAAACCAGAGTGGCAGGACCTAAGAGCTGACAAAAGACAGTCAGAAGATGGATACTATTCAATTTTAATTTTTTTAAATTTTTAATTGTTATTTAAAGTTTTGAGTTCCAAATTCTATCCCTTCCTCAGACAGTAAGCAATCAGATGTAGATTACACATGTGCAATTATGTAAAACATTTCCATATTAGTCATTTTGTACAAGAAGACTTGAATAAAAGAAAAAAAATGAAAGTGAAAATAGCATGCTTCAGTCTGCATTCAATCACTATCGGCTCCTTCCCTGGAGGTAGATAGTATGCTTCCTCATTAGTCCTTCAGAATTGTCCTGGATCATTGTATCGCTGAGAAAAGCTAAGTCATTCACAATTCTTTGTCCAACAATGTTGCTGTTACTGTGTACAACATTCTCCTGGTTCTGTTCACTTCACTATGTATCAGTGCACATAAGTTTTCCCAGGTTTTTCTGAAGTAATCCTACTTGTCATTTCTTATAGCACAGCAATATTCCATTACAATCATACACAACAGCTTGTTTAGCCATTCCCCAATTGATGGGCATCCCTTTGATTTCCAATTTTTAGCTACCACAAAAAAAGTTGCTATAAACATTTTTGTACAAATAGGTCTTTTTTCCTTTTTTGGGACGTCTTTGGAATACAGACCTAGCAATGGTATTGCTGAGTCAAAGGCCCTTTGGGCATAGTTCCAAATTGCTCTCCAGAATGGCTGGATCAGTTTACAACTCCAACAACAGCGCATTAGTGTCCCAGTTTTCCCACATGCCTACCAACATCTAACATTTTCATTTTTGTCACATTAGTCACTCTGATAGGTGTGAGGTGGTACCTCAGAGATGTTTTAATTTGCATTTCTTTGTTCAATAGTGGTTTAGAGCACTTTTTCATATAACTACAGATAATTTTGATTTCTTCTTCTGAAAACTGCCTGTTCATTTATCAATTGAGGAATGATTTGCATTTTTATAAATTTGACTCAGTTCTCTACATATTTGGGAAATGAGGTTTTTATCAGGTTGCACATCCCTCTTCCTTCCCCCTTTGCCCCCCGGTTTTTGGCTTTTCTTATAATTTTGCATTTGTTTTGTTTGTGCAAAAACTTTTTAATTTTATATAATCAAAATTATCTATTTTACATTTTGTAATGCTCTCTATATCTTCTTTGGTCCTAAATGCTTCCCTTATCCATAAATCTGACAGGTAAACTATTCCATGCTCTCTTGATTTGATTACAGTATCACCCTTTATGTGTAAATCATGTGCCCATTTTGACCTTATCTTGGTATACGGTGTGAGATATTGGTCTATACCTAGTTTCTGCCATACTGTTTTCCAGTTTTCTCAGCAGTTTTTGTCAAAATGTGAGTTTTTGTTCCAAAACTTAGATCTTTGGGTTTATCATGTACTAAATCACTATGGTCATTTACTGTAATGTAAATTACAGTAATATACTACATACTATAACTTCAATGTAATCTGTCCCTAATCTATTCCACTGATCCACCACTCTATTTCTTAGCCAGTACCAGATTGTTCTGATAATTACCGCTTTATAATACAATTCAAGATCTGGTATAGCTAGACCAACTTACCTCCATCCTGTTTTTCTTCCTGTTTGTCCTCTCTCTCCTTTCACCCTTTCCCTCCTCAATAGTGTTTTGCTTCTGTCTACTGTCTCCCCAAGTCTGTTCTCTCTTCTGTCAGTTCCTCCCCCCCCTTACTTAATCTCCTACTTCCCTGTTGGGTAAGATGGATTTCTATATTCAATTGATTGTGTATATTATTCCCTCTTTGAGCCAATACTGATCAGAGTAAGGTTCAAGCGATGCTCATCGCCCACCCTCTAACTTTTCCTCCATTATAATAGGTTTTTCATGAATCTTCATGTGAAATAACTTACTCTATTCTACCTCTTCTTTCCTTATGCACCCAGTAAACTCCCCTTTCTCATCCCTTATTTTTTTTATGTCATTCCCTCAAATTTACCTTATACCCGTACCCTCTGCCTATATATATTCCTCCTAGCTGTACTACTAGTGGTACAATTTTTAAGAATTACCAGTATCATCTTCTGATGTAAGGATGTAAACAGTTCAGCTTATGTTTTCTTTTCCCTTTTTAGGTTTCTCTTGGGTGTTGACACTGAGATCAAATTTTTTGTTCAATTCTGGTCTTCTCCTTATGAAAGCTTGAAATCCTTCTATTTCATTGAATGACCATTTTTTCCCCTTGAATGCTTAATTTCGCCAGGTAGGTGACTGATTCTTGGTTGTAGTCCTAGCTCCTTTGCCTTCTCAAATATCATGTTCCATGACCTCCAATCCTTTAAGATGCAGCTGCTAAGTCCTGATTGTGGCTCCCCAATATTTGAATTATTTCTTTCTGGCCACTTGCAGCATTTGTTCCTTGACCTGACAGTTCCGAAATTTGGCTATAATGTTCCTTGGAATTTTTATTTTGGGATCTTTTTCCTGAGGTGATTGGTGGATTCTTCCAATGCCTATTTTGCCCTCTGGTTCCAGGATATCAGAGCAGTTTTCCTTGATAATTTCTTGAAAGATGCTGTCCAGGTCCTCCTTTTGATTATGTCTTTCAGGTAGTCCAATGATTCTGACATTGTTTCTCCTGGATCTATTTTTCCAAGTCAATTGTTTTTCCAATGAAGTATTTCACATTTTCTTCTATTTTTTTCATCTCTTAAATTTGTTTGATTGATTCTTGACGTCTCATAGAGTCACTAGCTTCCACTTGCCTAATTCTCACTTTCAAGTTATTTTCCTTAGCATTTGTACTTCCTTTTCCATTTGGTCAATTGTACTTTTTAAGCAGTTGTTTTCTTTTTCAAGCTGCTGACTTTTTTTTTTTAATTCTCTTTCAACACTCGCATTTCTTTTCCCAATTTCTCTTCTACCTCTCTTATATGATTTTTAAGCTCCTTTTTGAGCTCTTTCATGAGTTCTTTCTGGGCTTGAGACCACTTCCCATTTTACTTTGGGGTTTTGCCCATAGGTGTTTTGACATTGTTGTCCTCTTCTGAGTTTGTGTCTTGATATTCCCTGTCATCACAATAACTTTCTATGGTCAGATTCTTTTTTCTGTTGTTTTTTGCTCATATTTTTTAGCCTTGTTCCTTTCTTTTAAATGTGAAGGGTCACTGTCTCGGGCTTACTGTGCCAGGAGTTGCAGGCCCTCGCTGTTTACTTGGTGCTACACTGATATTGCCCTGAGGCCCACAGGGAACCCTTGTGTCTGGTGTTGCACTGAGGGGGTGGGGTGGGGGCGTTCTGGCTGGCACTAGAGGCCATAGGGGTTTGGCAGCTTACCTGATGCTGAGCTGGGGTCCTAATGCTGGTGTCTGGCATGTGCTAAGGCTGGTGGGGTGTTTCTGTGTTTCCCCAGGACTACACGGAAGCATATGGGGATCTGGCTACTGGCGGCTATCTGTTTGCCCACGGCTATGCTGAAGCATGTCAGAATGACGTTTTGAGTGAAGAGAAAGCACACAACAGAGTTCTCAGTTTTGCCACTTACTAGCTGCATATGGCAGCTAGACCAGTCATTTAAAACCTAGAACAATGTTTTCTCATCTTAAAATGAGAGCTAATAATTAAACAAAACTTACATGACCTACCTTGCCAAGTTGTTACAAGAAAAGCTCTGTAGCAGGAAACCAGAGCTTTTAGTATAAAGTCAGTATGTAGGCTGTTTGAGTCTCTCTCATCAATGCTCTGTTCCGACCTGGCTCCCCCTCCCTGCTCTGACACTCACTAACGGAATGGGTGAGACTGTGACCAAGTCACCCCCCTGGTCTGGGCCTCAGTAGCCTCATCTACAAAATCAGGTGCTGGACTGGGTAGCCTCCAGTCTCTCCCAGAGTAGGCTCCAGAGGCCTAGGAGCCTTCCAGGCCACACGCACTTTCCAGGACATGAAGAGCAGAGTAAACAGCGTGAGAAACAAACAACAGTGGGGGCAGACAGGATCACAAACCTGTTTGCTTGCTTGCTTTAGGGTGGAGAGGGAATGGTGGTGAAATAACAGGAATGACACACACACACACAGACTCAAGCACCAAGGTCACATCCAGTAACCTGGGAGGCCTTCCAAGGCTGTCATGGGCCCCCTTTTCTTCTCAAACTCTCCCAACTGCTGATCTCACCAGCTCCTATTGATAAATTATCATCTCTCTCTGGCAAAGGATTCTCAGATTCTATGTCCAGCCCTAGCCTATTTCCTAAGCTATAGTCACACATGACCAGCTGCCTTTTGTATATCTCCAACTGGATGTCGGGGGGCAGAGCCAAGATGGCGGAGGGAAAGCAGTGACTATCTTGGGCTCTCTCCCAAAGCCCTCCAAATACCTAGAAAAATGGCTCTAAACAAATTCTAAAGCAGCAGAACTCACAAAAAGGCAGAGTGAAACAAATTTCCAGCCAAAGACAGCTTGGATGGTTGATCGGAAAGGTATATTGTGCCGGGCGGGGAGAGGAGCGCAGTTTGGCATGGGTGCACAGGCCGCAGTGACCCTGGAGCAGGCCTCTGAGGACTGAATCATGGGCAGCTGTGGCGGTTTCCAGACTTCTCAACCCCTGAACACCAAAGACAACTTAGAAGGTCCGTGGGAAAAGTCTGACTGCGGTGAGAAAGGAGCTAAGTCTCAGCCGCAAGTCTCGAGCGTGGCCCGGGGCCGCGGCTTTTTCCTGAGCTTCCAGCCCACAGACTGAGGGGGAATCCAGTGGCTGATCAGAGAGGGATTTCAGGGATCTCTTTGCCAGTGCTGAGGCAGGAATCTCTTGTTTTGCCTGTGCTTGGATCTGGGTCACAGTTCTGAGGGGCAATCCTGGGGCGACGAGGAACGCTGGTGTGGTGGAGCTTGTTGTGGCGGTGGAGAGAAAACACCTCGCCCCTTATCATACCATCTTGGAAGAACTGAAAATTTACAGGTCCCTAGAAGTACCTCTGAAAACACCTGAACAAACCCCCGAAGCTTGGGACAGTACACCCTTCACATTGGAAGCAGACTTTTACCTTAACAAAGAGTTTAAAACTCAAGTAATTGACTGGGATCATGAGTAAGCAGTGCAAAAAGAGTCAGACTATATTATCTTACTTTGGTGACAAAAAGAAGATCAAAACATACAACCAGAAGAAGACAACACAGCCAAAGCTCCTACATCCAAAGCCTCCAAGAAAAATATGAATCAGTCCCAGGCCTTGGAAGAGCTCAAAAGGGATTTTGAGAAGCAAGTAAGAGAAGCAGAGGAAAAACTGAGTGATGCAAGAAAATCATGAAAAACAAATCAACAGCTTCCAACTGAATGTGCTGAGGGCACCTCAAACTCACCATGTCCAGAACTGAGCTTGTCACATTTCCCCCAAAACTTTTTCCCCTTCCCAACTCTCCTATTACTGTTGAAGAAGCCACCATGTTCTAAGTCACCCAAGACTCAGGGTCACCCTGGACTCTTCACTCTTACTCCCTCCATGCCTCATCTCTATGACTTTTTCTTGACTGTCCCCATTAGGATAAGTTCTACTGAGTTTTCTAGATCTGTTTGGAGGAGTTTGAGGGTGGGGTTCACTGCACTTCTACCTGTTACTCTACCATCTTGACTCCCTTCCCCACTGTAAACTCTTAATAAATGCCTGCTGAATGAATGACCGTATCATACCCATTCACTCTTACTACCTTTACAAAAGTAACACATAAACTCAAACAGAATATCAGAGAAATCAGGGAGGCAGAGAGGGAGAAGTGACTTTATTAGGAAAAATTATTAAGAAGCCAAATCACTGTGATATGAAAGCTAGGTTTCAGTCCCAGATCTGCTCCTAAACTAGTCAGGTGAGGTTGGGTAAGTGACTGCCCTTCTCTGGGACACATTTTCCTCATCTATAAAAGAAGAAGGTGGACAACATATTCAGGTCCCAGATGTAGAGCTGAAGGGACTTCCAAGGCCACTGAGGCCAATCCCTCATCTTACAGAGGAAAAAAATCACACCTTCTTTTCCCTGCTTGATGAGTCTATGAATAAATTAACTGGGGAAGGCATAGATTTAACTGCAACACATGTGAGACATTACATAATATGGCGGGGCAAGCTTAATGCTAAAAAATGGCTTAAGAACACCAGCAATTGCCACCCTGATAAAGAACAATGGTCCACCAGGATTAGTATTCTGCTTTTGATAGCCAGCACCAATGCACCACACTTTAGGAATCCCATAGACACAGATGTCCGCTGCATCACTGAGTTTCAGGGGATAAAAACTCGGAGAATCAAAAACTAGAAAGAACTACCTTTGGTGCTTTTAAAATAAGTACGTTGTGTAACTGGATTTAATACTTACCAACTCCTCCAAAGGGCAAAGAGCTCAGAGTGAAATGCATCACGACATCATTGCCAGTAACCCCACCGCTGGAGGTTTCCTGAATCATCCTTTTAATCAGCTAAAAGACAAAACAGGACATTCTGATCTCACCGGCCTGGTCAATCCTCAAAGATCCTGAGAGTGTAGAGCCCCACCACCTCTGACCAACTGCACATATTGAGGCAGGACATCCTCAGAGAAGTCTGTATGTTTGGCTTTAAAAAAACCTGTTCAACCAAGCAAGTAAATTGTTTACAGGATTCTTCACCAAACCTTCACTTTCCCCACTGTGGAGTTTCTTTGGTAGTGCATTATGCACACAGTAAATTTAAAATGCAGTCTGGTTTGACATGACATGGATCTGATATAAAACTTTTCAGAAACACCTATTATCTAAAGTGAAATACACATGCATTAACCAACAGTAGCTGCTCAGTGATTGCTGTCTGGTGGCTCTGCATCTTGTAATGAATGAATGAAAAGCATTTAGTATGTGCCAAGCACTCTGCTAACAGCGAGGGATACAAATATAAAATAGAGACATGTCAACATACAAAGGGAAGTAATGTCCAGGCAAGGGAATTAGGTCTGGAAAGTCACAAAGATGTCAAGTCCACTAACACACACTTCCCTGAAACAATGTTTCAGGTGGAGGTGGGAAGGGTGTTGGCAGGGCAGAGATGGCCAGGGTAAAAAAGAGGACACCAGGTTCCAGGAAATCCAGAGCTGAGCGGCTTAGCTCTGCCCAGGCACAGCCTCTGGTGATCCAGCGATCCAGAGTGGAAGGTGGAGCAGCAGCAGCAGATGGGCAAAACGTTTAGATCTGCTGTTTTGTTTGTGTTTGCCTCATCTGTCTGCAACTTGTTTGCAAAGTGCCACAGCACATGTTTAACCTGGACATGTGCCACAGAAACATGAAGAAACAACCACAATATATGGCCCTCTCAGCTGCCATCTCTATGACGTGTGCCTCTGACCATTGTCTGAGTAAAGATACAATGACCGGCACCATGAATACCCCTGCCCCAGCTCCCACAGTGGGACTTCAGCTGAGTGCTACCTGGGCCAGAAATCCCCCTCAACATCAAAGGGTAAAATTGAGAGAAATGATAATTTATTAAACCAAATATTGGGAGACCCAGGATTTTTTTATTAGATCAAAGCTTAGTTCTCTGAAGGGCAGGGCAGATGATCAGATGAAATCTTTGAATTGTTACCCCACCCAACTAGAGAACCTTAGAAAGAATTTAACCTACAGTGAATTCTGAACTTAGGGTTGTTAAGCAATTATGGCCTTGGCCTCCACGTATTATATTTTTGTGATGTATAAAAAGTTTGAGAGATACAGTTTCTAGGTAATTAATCATTTTATTAATCATGCTAGCACATAATTAATAAAAGATGTCAGTGGCCCTCCCGAATACCAAAGACCCCTCATGGATCCTCCTCAGCACTTATATGCCCTTGGAAGAGCTGGTGTTCTGAGGGTGGCAATAGATTCTGACTGGTTAACAAGTAATGAAGAATGAATATTATAATGAGAGGTGGACCTATTCTAATGAGGGGCTGAGGGACATGACTCTTGATCACTCCCACTCCCACTTCCAGACTCAGGCCATCTAGCCTGCCTGAGTGGAACGTAATGGTTCAGAATTCAGCTCTTGCTGTTTTCCTGTGCTTGTGGAAACCTGGTTTTCCTGGGATGACCCCTCATCCCTGGCCCACCCCTGACTTGTCTAGATACTCTTTCTTTCATGGTCCCCTGCCTACTCTTTGCTCCTCCCTGCCCTGTCCAGACCTTCCTTTCACTGTCACTGTTTAGCAACCTTTCTTTCTTTGAGATTGTCTCCAACAATCTCTATCACCCTGTTAATATCACATCCAATTACTGGTCACTCTTCTTTAAAGAGTCTGGTCTTCTCCTCTACCTCATGCCACCCCAGTAACATCAACATCAAGGATATCAATATTCATTACATTTCTGGGAACACCATGGCCTCCCAGTGTGTCAGTCTCCTTAACTCCCATGGCTACCATCTGTCTTCTACCTCAACCACCCCCAAGGCTGGTTACACCCTAGACCTTCACCATCATTCAAAACTGGGCTACTTTCATGATTAAGAATTTCCAAATTCCTTTCTCCAATCATAATCTCTTCTTTTGCCTCACTCCTCTGAAATCTATTTCTTTTTCAGGTTTAAAAATTCTTTGTTTGCATATTTTAAAAACTATGCATTATAATAATGAAAATTCTTTGAACAACAACAAAAAAATGGCACTTGAATTACTCGCATTTTACAGCTTGCCAGGACCTTGGCAAAATTTTGCATTTTATTTTGCTACCTAGGCCCAACCCACACTCTTCTTTCACAAAAATATAAGCCACTGGAACTCCAACTAGGCAGATGGACAGATTAAAAGGCAACTCAAAACCAGTAGTTCTATTTTTTTTTTTAACGTTGAAAGTGGAGAATACAGTTATTTAAACTTGATCCAACTCTTTACACCTTACAAAGCTGAAGATGGTGCTTACAGAATGTACCATGTTGGCACACTGGCAGGGCAGACCTTATTACCATTCACTGCCTGCTTCTCCTGCCCAATGGTTTCTTTTGAAAACAGTGGATTTTTGTCTCACGTTTCTGTCTTCCGCAATTTAGAATTACTGAATATCTGCCTCTCAGCCAGGAAGTCGGGACCCAAGGTGGCTGCTCTGGTCTGTTTCCGAACTCTCTTCTTCATCCTCATAAAAACCTCCAGGCTCCCCAGCCCAATCCTAGTCTTCTTCGCTCCCCTCCGGGTCTTGATTTCTAGTTAACCAGGCCCACCCTGTACTATTCTCTGCTCTTCAATCCCTTGCCTTCTTGTCCTTCTGTTGTTCGTGGCCCTGGATCACACCCACCACCCGCCCTTTCTGCTCTCACTCCTTGGCTGCTGTATGTTACTGGAGAAAGTCACACAACTGGGCCCACTAATGAATTTATATTATCTAATATCACCCAGCCCCTGACTGCTCCACTCCCCACACGCCCTCCATCTCAGCAGCTATTCATTTAGTGAGCATTGATTAGGCGCCTACGGTGCTCACCTAATGTGAGACTTCTTGAGTACGGAATGCCACGGGGAGCCCTGGGCTTTAGGAATCTCACACTTCAGGAGTCGTATGGAGGATGGATCAGAGAAGGGAGAGACTGAATGCAAAAGTCCTGACTGAGAGACAGAAGGGGCCTGAAGCACGGTGGTGGCGGTGAGATACACATGGAGGAGATAACTGAAGGTGAGGATAAAGAAAGTGAACAATGACTCCCAACAGCATTGAGAGTGGGAACCCCAACAGACATAGCCAAGTCAGAAAGAGGACAGAGTTTGGAGGGTAGGGTTCAAAGATAATAAGCTGAACATTTTGTACAATTTGAGATGGAAATGCCTATAGGAATCCAGCTGGAGATTCAAACAGGTAGATGACAATATATGGATTAGGGTTCTGGAGAGAGGAGGGCTGGATATATCTGGGAGTCATCTGCCTAAGTAGGACAGCTGAACCCATGGGAGCAGATAAGATCACCAAGGAAGAGAAGGGGATGTCAGGGGCACAGGTGGCAGGACTCTCCCTTCCTCCAATCCTCTTTCCACAAAGCTGCTTAAATCACCCTCCTTATGCACAGGTTGTATCACTTCACTCTTCTTCTCAAAAACAATCTATGGCTCCCTACTGCCCCGGGATAAAATGCAAAACTCTAGGACTAACATCTAAGACTCTTCAAAATCTGGGTCCAACCTACCTTTCTAGTCTTATTTCACATCACTCTCCTTCACACCACCCTTGCTGCAGCCTAGCCATCCCTCATGGTACATTCCATCCCTGGCTTCCTGCATTCACACAAGCTATCCCCACGCTTTTCCTCTGCCTTTTAGAATCCTTATCTTCCTTAAAAGACTTAGGATGCCACACATGAGCTCTAGTTAGCTTTCTTGGGTCTCCCTCTCCCGACTGTTAGTGCTTGTGCTCACCTCAAATTAGCCTGAATTATACTCATCGGTGTTCAGTCCTATCATCTACACCTCTGCTCCCAGTACAATGTACACCTGTTGGGCCAACGACGATTTTGTTTTTGTCTTGCTGCTTCCCAGTGCCCGGCACGATTCCCTGCAAAAAGCAGTAGGTGCTGGTTGAGTTGACAATTGTGTTTCTCTGTTGGAACTGGCTCATGTTGATGTACAACCCTGGTGTGCTGCAGCCTTGCTGACAGGCTGCAGTTCATCATCTTGGTCTCTGACCAGCACTTGAAAATCCTTCCCTTTCGCCTTCTAGCATCCATGCAGTTATCTTACACAGTGTTCCTTCTACTTTCTCATGAGATACGAAGGAGTCCCCAGCCTAGAGAACCAAGTTCATCTGATCTCTGGCCCATGACTTATTCCTTATTCAAGCATCCCACTGTTGATGCCTCTTGAGCAGATGCTAGAAACACTTGCATATGAGACCCTACAAAGCATCTCCAAATAGGACAGTTTTGAAAGGAGGTCACCTCGATTTCCATTCCAGCCTAAGCTGCTGCCTCTGGGAATCAAGGCCTCTTCTACCTCTTTTGACTCATTTCCTCTTACTCAATATTTTCTTCCCAACAACAAACACTGTTGGCATGCAAGCTCCTCCTGGCCCCCTCTCCCACTGCCATCAGGCCCAGCTGAGATCTTGCAGCCACTGGCTTAGCTCACCCCAAGAAAGAGTTGGGTTTTCTTCAAACCGGTTTTATTTTCTGAAGTTAAATAAATAAAAATTTAAAATAATCAATCAAAAAAGCATTTATTAAATGCTTACTCTGTACCAGGCATTGTGTTAAGCACTGGGGATACAAAGAAAGGCAAAAACAGTCCTTAGCGTTAAGGAACTCACATTCTAATGGTGAAGCGTAAATGATCGGGTGCATACAAGATGTATGCAGTATAGACGGCAGGTCACCTCAGAGGAGAAGGCAGGGGGAGGGGAGGGAGGGACTGTGACAGGCCTCTGGTGGAAGGCGGGAACTGATTAGCAGAATCTTTAAGGGAACCAGGGAAGCTGAGAGGCAGAAATTGGGGGGTAGCAGGGAGAGAGACAGAGCATCCCAAGCACGGAGGAGGCCAGAGCCACAGACGAACGACACATTGGCCAGTGGAGCTGGATTGTGAGCGAGTGGAGGAGAATAAAGTAGAACACTGAAAAGGAGCAGGTAGCGAAGAGCTTTAAATGTCAGGGGATTCTGCCCTTGACGTGGAAGGTGATGGCGAGTGCCTGGAGCATCCTGGGCAGACCACTGAGGGGCAGCTGAACGGAGGAGGGCCCAGAGCGGGGAGATCAGTTAGAAGGCTCCTACTGCAACAGCCCAGGCAAGAGGGGGTGAGGGCCCGCAGCAGTGGGGTGGCCATGAGCAGAGAAAAGGGGGCGTGTATGAGGGATGTTGTCTTTTCTAGAAAAGCCAGGATTTAGCAAAGGATGGAGGACACCGGGTAAGTGAGTGAGGAGCTGGGGACAGCACAGAGTATGGACGTGTCAAGTAATGGCGCACGATAGCCCAAGTCTGGCCCCAAGGGATGGACGAATGTGCTCTCATCTGCCTTACTCTGCACACCATCTGGCTCTACCGCCAAAACTCAAAAAGAAACAAACAAAAAACCCAACACAAACAAAAACTAGACACGCTGACACTCAAACTTTCAGGCGCTACTTTTCCACTCAAAGCTGGCACCCTTCCTAACTGCTCCCCCCAAACATCTGGAACAAATACTTCTGGCCACCGTTACAGGAAGAACCAAGAGAACATATACCATAACTACAACATAAATGAGAGTATCACGAAAAAGAAATCTACTTTCAAGTAAGGGACACACCAGTGAAGGTCCCAGAAGGCAGTAACGAAACAGCACCCGTGCCACAGCAAAGAGAGGGTGGCCCAGGCTGAGACATGGAGAGACTGCCTACCAGAGAAGGTCACTCTCAATGCTTTGACATTTCAGGTTTTGTTGTTGTTGTTCAGTTGCTTTTCAGTTGTGTCCACCTCTTTGTGACCCCACATTTGGCCATTTCTTGGAAAAGATAATGCCATTCGCCATTTCCTTCTCCAGCTCATTTTACAGATGAGGACCTGAGGCAAACAGGGTACAGTGACTTGCCCAGGGTCACACGGCTAGTAATTGTCTGAGACCAGATCTGAACTCAGGAAGATGAGTCTTCCTGAGTCTAGGCCTGGGGCTCTGTCCACTGCACCACCTAGCTGCCCAGCCATTTCATATATTCACCAGCTTTTCTTTGGCAGAAGGGGACAGTTCATTTTGGGGGTGGGAAATAACTGATATAAAGACAAAAGGCATCAATAAAATTTTTTTTTTCCTAAAAAAGAAAAAAAGTCCATTTTATTAACTGATCAGACCTGAGTTGCCCCTTTGCAAGGGTGCAACCCTATTGGGGCTCCACTTTCTTCTGGATTCTTAGTCTCAGCCACTGAGGGTGGAACAATTCTCCCTGGCAAGAGGGCCCTTCTCGGCCCATTGCCTCTGGACAGCAGCCCCCTCCTAACCACCTCTTCCCCCTCTCTTCCCAGTCACTCGTCCTCCTCCCAATTAGTCTAGCTGTCCCAGTGAGCAACAAAACCACAGGGACTGGGAACCCTATTGCAGAAGCAACACAGCTACTGTGCTGAAGTCAGGAACAGTGACTTCAATGAATTATACTGGCTAATTTAGTCTTCCTACTCATGAGATAGGGCTTGGAAAGACTGAGGAGGAAGAAAACATCACTGACACAACCTCTGGGCCTCACAAGATCTCACACAACGGCCACGGAGGAATCAGACCTCACACTTCAAAAACCCCCCACCTGTGTCTATTTCCTGCTCCCCTGCGTGCCCCCAATTAAATAAGGAGAAAGCCATCAACCACCTGGCCACCAATCCTGTATGGATTAGGGAGAGAAAGGCAAGCTGCACTTGAAATGATGCTTTCCCATTACAGTTCAGGGTTGTTGGTGAGCCACATGCCTTGGGACATTCACCCTCTTAGGACTCAACTATATGTCAGAGAAGTTAGGGAAAGCTTAAGAACATTTTGTAAGCTCAATAACATCCCATGGGCCCCATTAACCCAAAGAGAAATCCAACGGATGTAGTCCTACTTGGTGAAGTCTAGCTCTAAATGAAACAAACACCTTTGACTTACTGACAAAGAAGAAGACTGTGTTTTGCAGCCCAGACTTTCGGTAAGCATTCCCTAACACTCACCTTATTGTTATTAGAAAACACATACAGGGCCAGGGGTTTTTCTCGCTGGTTGATGAACTGTATTGCTTCATCTGCATTTTTCACAGGCACTATTGGAAGCACAGGACCAAATATCTCTTCCTGCATCACCTTGGAGTCAGGGTTAACGTCAGTAAGGACAGTCGGGGCTGCAATGAAGAAAAGAAACCAAAATCACGATGCAGGAGGGAGGTAGCCTCGTCTCTGCTTCCATTCTGATCAGACCTATGCATGTGATCACCTGCTCTCTGACCCGGGCCCTATGCCTCCTCAATCACTTGTCTGCTCACTCTCTGAGTAGTGCTTGCACCTAGGAAGGGTCAGAAGCTATCTGCATCAGGCCTGCATGCGTCTGGCAGGGAACCCACAGAGGCAGATGGGCAACCTGGTGCACAAAGCATGATGGGAGATATGTCTGCACGTCTTTTTAGTACGCATGCCTTCCTCTCTAGGGATGCTTCCTTTCACCCCTGCCTTACCCCTCTCGTCTCATCTGGTCCCCATAACAAACCTGTAAGTACGCAAGACGGGCAGAACTGGTATTAATGTCCCCATTTAACAGGTACAGCAACAGAGTAAGTGACTTGCACTGTTAGTTAAGGCCAGAGGAGAGCAGATCTTCTGGTTCAGTGCTCTGTCCTCCATTCCCTGCAGAGCCTGGCACATCCTACAGAAAGCCAGCGCTTTTCCACACTACAAGACAAGTCAGTGGTGACCCATTTAAAGCAAATGCGCAGATGCCACATACAAAAGAAGCAAGGTTCACTTTATCGGAATAAAGACTGGTTGTTACTTTAAACGTGAACATGCATAATGTGACCTAATTCAACTCTGCCAAGTTCTGACAACAGCGAGGCCACGTGACCTGTGAAAGCCCTGGACAGGCTCTGCAAGGAGTCACAACAGCAATGTCGGCACCTGTGTTCTAAGACCGATACCAGTGAGAATGAGGGAACCTGAAAGTTAAGCAAGTCCTCAAAGGTCACGATGACCAGTACAGAGGGGACTTGGTTCAACCAGTAACCATCTGTCACAGTTCTTGCTGTCTTCGTCAAACCATCTTGGGAGCAGATCTGATGCCTCAGCTCAACAAGGCCAAATGTCACTACTAGCTGAGAAGACTTTTTTTAAAAAAAAAAATTTTTACTCTGAATTTAAGAAATAAAACAAGCATTTCCCATAACAAAGTAGAATAGAAAAAAAGAAGATTGCCCATGAAACCGCAAATCTATTATATGCAACTTGCTTTTCCCTTTAAATGTATAATAAAGTTATCACGTAACTTGCCCCCCCTCCAAGATGGCCATCGTTAGAAACAAATATGTAAATATATGTAAAACCATACTATGCATACTTCTATTTATCAGTTCTTTCTCTGGATACAGACAGCATCATCCTTCATAGGGCCTTTTTGGTTAATATGGGTATTTATAATAGTCAAAGTGACTTGATCACTCAAAGTTGTTCTTAAAACAATATTGTTGTTAATGGTATACAATGTTCTCTTAGTTCTGCTCATTTCACTCTTCATTATTTCATGCAAGTCTTTTCCTGTTTCTCTAAAATCATCGAGCTCATCATTTGTTATATCACAGTAGTATTCTATCACAATCATACACCACATTGTTTATACTCATTCCCCAATTGATGGGCATCCCCTCAGTTTCCAGTTCTTTGCCACCACAAAGAGAGCAGCTATAAATATTTTAGAACATATAGGTTCTTTTCCTTTCTCCCTGATCATCTTGGGCAACCATAATAGTGGTGTTGCTGGGTCAAAGAGGATAGGCAGTTTTATAACTCTTGGCCATAATTCCAAATTGCTCTCTAAAATGGTAGGATTAGTTCACAATTCCACCAACAATGAATTAGTGCGCCAATTTTTCCACATGCCCCCTCAACATTTGTTGTTTTCCCTTCTATCATTTTAGCCAATCTGATAGGTATAAAATGATATCTCAAGATTGTTTTAATTTGCATTTCTCTGATCAATAATGATTTCAAGAATTTTTTCGTATAACTATAAATTGTTCTGATTTCTTCATCAGAAAACTGCCTGTTCATATCCTTTGACTACTTATCAATTGGAGAATGACTTGTATTCTTACAAATTTGACAAATTTCTTTATATATTTAAGGTTCAGATAAGACCTTTATCTGAGAAACTGCCTATAAAAAAGTTTTTTCCTAAGTTTCTTCTTTCCTTCTGCTCTTGGCTACATTGGTTTTATTAGTACAAAATCTTTTTAATTTAACGTAATTGAAATTATCCATTTTACACCTCCCAATATTCTTTTCTTCTTTATTCATAAATTATTCACCTATCCATAAGTCTGATAAGTAATATGTTCTATGTTCTTCAAATTTTCTTGTAATATCTCCCTTTATATCTAGGTCGTGAATCCATTTTGATCTTATCTTGGTAAACGGTCTAAGATATTGGTCTATGCCCAATTTCTGCCAAACTGCTTTCCAGGTTTCCCAACGATTACTACAAAATAATTCTTATTCCTCAAACTTAAATCTTTATACTTGTCAAACACAAGGTTACTATGGTCATTCACTGCTATCAGAAGGGAATAAGAAAGGATATTTTGGCAGCCTCTTGGCCAAAAAGAAGTGCCACCTGGTTCTTCAGAGGTGAAAAACCAAGTCAGCAACAATGAACCAATAAACTGTTTCTGGAATAATTCTGCCACTCCCTGGCCAGGGGCTGCCATCCCTTGTTCCAGTTTTTTCATGTGCCAGAATAGGAACAATTCTACTTATCCTACCTTCCTCCCAGGATTGTTATAAAGCCAACACCAGGCAACAAATGAACTCTGAGAAAGTACAATCGATTTAAGTTATAGCCATAGGGAAGAAACTGAAAACAGGAGAGCTGTGCACTGGTGTCCCAGCCCTGGAGTGTGGAGGACCTGAGGTCAAGTCTTGCCTTTGATACATACTGGCTGTATGACCATGAAGAAGTCTCATAAACTCTCAGGGCTACAGGAAACTCTAAGGCAAAGACAAGTGCCAGTCTCCACTAGTAAGGACAGTGTCTATACCAGGAATTTCCCACCTAAATAAAACCACAGGTCCAGACCATACTATTCACTCTCAAACAAACTGAATAACTCACTTACATCAGTATTTATTAGTCATTACACTCAAGGCTTAAAAAAATTAATTAATTAAAAATAGCATTCACGGGTATATAAACTAATAAACCATCATCTCTCATATTAAAAACAAAAAAGTAAAATACCTATGTATCGTGTAGCCTCGTCCGTCTCCCCTCCAAAAGCTATCTTTTGTCCTTCAAGTAAACTTGTCACCCTTTTAAAATGACGAAGGTTGATGATCCTTTCGTAATCAGGAGACTTTTTTATTTCTTCACCATAGAATTCCTATTTAAAATAATTAAATGTACTTAGACTCATAGTTCTACCAATTAATTTGAAGAACTTAGAACACATCCAGGTCAAGAACCTACCTTGCTTTCCAAATCATACTCACATTTCTGCCCACAGCTCCATACGACTTATTTGTACTATCTCTGGCTAAATGATTGTTATGGATGGGGTTCTGAAAAGTCATTGTTTTGGATCAAGTCCCATAGATGGAAGAGGAAAAGCCCAGAGATGGTAAAAATTACCCAGCTAGTGCATGCTGTCTTTGTCCAGGGTGCCCAAGAGAAGACTGGCACTTCAGACATGCCAGCCAAGAGACAGTCCCAATTTTTAGGCTCTTCAGCCTTCCCTACACAAACATGTATACAATCACAGTCCAAAGAAATCAATCATGCCCCTACCCTCACTGTTTATATCATACAGCAAGGACACCCCACTGATCACAGTCCATGAATATCATTGATGCTAAAGAGCTGTGGTCATTTTGTACCTTTCTTCTGCTTTCAGACACCTCCATGAAGACAGAAGTCAAGGGTCTCAAATTTTGTTATCTACTTTGTGAGAAGATATGGATCCCCAAGCATGGAAAAACAGAGGTTTCCAAAGAACCTCCCTACTTATAAGCACAGGGGAACTACAATGTTAGAGATATACCTGCTCCAAGACTGCCATGAAATGATGACCCAAGTCTTCACATGGTCTGTGGGCCCCAATTGTCACAACCTCACATTTCTGTGAAGTGTGCAATCATCCTGAGAAGAGCCTGAAGCCACTCATGGTGTGACACACACATACCCTTCCCCCCTGCCAAGTACAGGAAATGAAAACACGGAATCAAGTAGACAAAGGGAAACAAATGGAATCACAATAACAAATCTGACTCACTTTCTGCCTCCAATGTGGCATCTCTCCTCAAGTTCCCCACACTTCAGAAAGGACAGACAGGTGTTAATTTTGGTCAAAATGTACACTACATGAAGAGGAGCGCAATGGGATAATGCAGGAAAGAGAGTGCTCTTGAGAGGGAGGGAACACGTATGCCAAGAACTCTGCTGCAAGGGGAATGGTGAGAAGTGCAAAGGCCAGGTCAAGGCCAAGTGTTATGAGGAACCTGATGGAAAGAACACTTTCAGTTGCATGGGGCAGGGCAATAGGGCTACTAGGGAAGGCTCAATGGAGGAGTTAGAACCTGAGTTAGGTTTTGAAGGAAAGAAGAGACTTCCTCAGATGAAGAGGGAAAGTGCCAGAGAATCAGCTCTAAGCGGGAGGGAATCTTGACACCCCTCATTCTGCCCCCCCCACCCCGAAAGAGGAGAAGGGCAGGACAAGCGGGGGGTGGGGGGGTAGGCGCACCTGAAACCAATGCCGTTTGACAGAGATATAGAGAATGTGAAAGCTGGGACTAATGAGATTAAAGCTGGAAAGATAGCTTGAAGCCACATTTTAGAGGGTCTTAACCACCAGGATCTGGAATTTATACTTTACTGAACAACTGATTGGAAGCCATTGGAGGCTCTGGAACAGGGCACTGATAGAAGCAGTACAATAGGTAGATTACACGGAGAGCTATGTGAAGTGTGTTCTCAAGAAGGGGGACAAGAAACCATTCCCGAAGTCTGTACATGAAGAGAAGTGGGGCCCCGGTAGTAGGAATGTAGAGGAGCCAGAGGCAAGGTGTATTGAGGAGGCAGAATTGACTGAAGAAGGCGGCTGATACAGGATAGTGGGAGGTGAGGGAAAGAGAAGAGTCCAAGATGGCTTGGAAAGCTGGGAAGACAGTGGTACCAACAACAGAAATAGAGACGTTTTGGGGAAGGACAGATTTTCTGAAGGGAAAAGGAGTTTTTTCTGGATGTGTTGAGTTGAAGGTGTTGGTGAGACCTAGATAGAGAAAGCAGGCAGTTGTAATATAAGACTGAAACTGGGGAGATGTTGGGAACGATTCACATAGAAGTGACTCCTGAAGCTACAAAGGAGATGAAACTTGTTTGGTGAAGTCATTTGCTCCCTCCTCTCCGGCTCCATAACCACCTAGGCCAGGCCTTCAGCAATTTAGGCTCAGATTACTCAACAGCATCCCAACAGCTTCTGTCTATGGTTTATCTTGAACTCTGCTACCAGATGAGATTCCTCTTCCTGAAATGTCACTTTCATTCCCAAATCAGGAACCCACAAGTTCCCTATATTACCTATCACATAAAGTCCAAACAATATTCGGAGGACACCATAACTTTCCCATCGAATGCCATCTTCACATGGTCCCCTCTAACATGAGCTCTCCTTTCCAGCTAGGTCAGTCTCCTCAGCATCCCCTCTCATTCCCTATTAATTCCCTCATCCCTGCCTTTACTCATGATGATCTTCCTGTCAAGAGAACGCCCTTTGGTTTCTTCAGTGGCAAGGCAAATTCCAAATATCTCCTGAATAATTAATACATGAACTCTCCAGAGTGACAGGTCCAGTATTCTGCACATAACTGATTATGCTTCCTGAGACAGACTGTGTTTACATCTGTGGTTCCCTATCCCAGTTTCATGACATGTCAGGGTCTCTCAAAAGATCTTAAGAGTTGTCACCAAATTTCTCAAAATTCTCTAGTATTTTTAATTCACTTTAATAAATAAATGACACACAGCTAAGTAAAGGCTACACCTCTGTGTCGTGTGGGAGACAAGGATTCAGTACACCAACAGGACGGGCTCACACGCCCTAGGAAGGCCTCTTTATGCAGGGAGGCTAAGTCAGCTGTCAAAGGTTCAGTGTGGAAAAGCTTGGCCCCAGGTTGGCTGCAAAGCAAGGGATGTTTCAGTCACAGTAACTCATAAAGACCTTCTACTCAGGTATAGAGGGCTGCACTCTGCACCTGTATGGGGAGTGCCCACAGGAGCAAAACCACCAACCCTTGGGGTACTGCATTAAGTGTGATTTGTTACTTTGAGAGAGTGACCACTATCAGACAACTAGGATAAATTCCAAAGGGTTTGGTAATCGCTGGCTCACACATGTGAGTTAGTCTGACAGTTTGCTATCTACATAATAACATGTGCTCACCAATCACCGGCCCAATAATATTACTAATAAGGGAATTACAATAGATTGAGCTCTAATGGACTGATAACTTAATTCAGCCCCCACCCCCCGCCAAAAAAGTTAAATTGTCAGGTTGTTTCTGTTAGCTAGATGGCAATGACCACTATTTGACAATCTTTCATTGGAATTGTTCAAATGGGGTGAGTAATCACTGAGACCAAGACAGGAAAGCAGAACATTAGGATAACCCTTTCTCATCATCCTGCCCACCCTACACCCCCCATTCTGTTCAACAGACTGATATGACAGAAATCATCCAAGGATTTGTTAAGAGGCACTGCTGCCAATAATATTTATCAACACACAGAGACATGCAAAAACTGGTTTATTATATACACACACATATACATACATGTGTCATATATCACAGCACAGACTCACCATATAAAAACCAGTGGGCCCTGAGTAGTAGTCTCATGCTATAGTCTACAGATTTTGGTTACATAAACCAGATGTAAACAATGGAATTTTAGAGGGCAGAAGGGAAGGTAATGATTTACACATCAGAGAGCAGATAACAGAAAGGGGAAGAGAGATCTACATCAGGTAAAATAATAAATGGGTCAATAAACATGGAGGATATAGCTGGAATCTGTAGATTAACCATTAACACCGAAGCTATGGCTAGTTATATGACACGTTTATCTTATGCAAATGGCCAAGTGAGAAATTCTCTGATAATACTGAGTCTTCACTCACCTTCACAGTTTCCTTTATCCTCTCCACAATCTGACTCTGGAGGGACGGCTCACAGAGAACATAGTCTGGAGCAATGCAGGTCTGACCACAGTTCATATACTTCCCCCAGGTGATACGTCTGAAGAAAACAAGGGACAAGATGAGATAACTATATTCAAATCACCCTCTGTTGGTTTCTTGTTGTTATTCAAGGAATTTGTTCATAAATTGCCACAAGGAAGAAGAAATATAGTACTGATCAAATAATCTCTCCTTTACAACTAGACTCTGTGCCTTATCACAGAATGGAGACAATTCTCAATTATCCCTGTTAATGGAAACAGCTGCCAATAATTTCAGCATCATAAAATATACCCGCATGGAAGATGGTGGAATAAGACAGGAACTCGCCTAAGCACTCCCAAATTCCCTTCCAAAAAACTTTAAAATAACATTCAAAACAAATTCTGGAGTGGTAGAACCTACAAAAGGACAGGGTGAAACAATTTTCCAGTCCAAGACAACTTCGAAGGTCGCCAGGAAAGGTCTGTCTCACTGAGGTGAGAGTGGAGCACAGTCCAGCGCAGGCCTCACTGGGTGCCAGCAACAGCTCCTGTCTCAGCACATCCGTGCAGGCCTTGGGGCCAAATGAATCAACAGCAGAGACTCCTAGAGTTCTAAGCCCATAGATAGGAAGGGGGCTGGACAATTGGTCAGAAGGAGATTACAAAGGATACTTCGCTGGCACTGGGTGCAAGAGATCTGGGTCATACTCAGATCTGGGTTGCAGACTCAGGGTGAGGAGAAACACTAGCATACTAGAGCACACAGTCACAGGAAAGCGGGATCCTAACCACAGCTGCAAGACAGAAACCAGTACTTGTGGTTGCTCACAGACCAGGAGAGCAGTGACCGTGCCTCTCCTTAGATCACACCACCTTGGAAGAACTCAAAACGTATAGGTCCCCAGAATTAGTTCTGAAAACAGAGCATGAAAAACTTGAAGCTTGGGAGACTGCCTCCTCCACCCCAAGAGGAGAACCCAACTTTAACACAGTTAAGTAAAGAAATAGGCTAGAAAAACGAGAACAAAAAAGAAAGAAAGAAAGAAAAGAACTTGACCATGGAAAGTTACTATTGTGACAGGGCACATCAAAGCATAAACTCAGAAAAGGACAACAATGTCAAAACACCCACGTGCAAAGCCACAAAGAAAAATGTGAATTGGTCTCAGGACCGAAAAAGAATTCCTGGGAAAGCTCAAAAAGGATTTAAAAAAAATCAAATAAGAAAGGTGTAAGAAAAATTGGGAAAAGAAAAAAGAGTGACGCATGAGAATCATGAAAAAAAGAGTCAACAGCTTGATAAAGGATGCACAAAAAATGGAAAAAGATATACAAAAATTTACTGAAGAAAACAACTCCTTAAATATATAGAGAATTAAGTCAAATCTATAAGAATACAAGTCATTCCCCAACTGATAAATGGTCAAAGGATATGAACAGGCAGTTCTCAGATGAAGAAATTAAAGCCATCTATAGTCACATGAAAAAATGCTCTAAATCACTATTGATTAGAGAAATGCAAATCAAAACTACTCTGAGGTACCACATCACACCTATCAGATTGGCCAACATGACAAAACAGGAAAATGATAAATGCAGGAGAAGATGTAGGAAAACTGGCACACTAATGCATTGTTGGTGAAGTTGTGAAATGACCCAACCATTCTGGAGAGCAATTTGGAACTATGCCCAAAGGGCTATAAAAATGTGCATACCCTTTGACCTAGCAATAGCACTTCTAGGGCCATATCCCAAAGAGATCATACAAATGAGAAAAGGACCCACATGTACAAAAATATTCATAGCAGCTCTTTTTGTGGTGGCAAAGAATTGGAAACTGAGAGGATGCCCACCAATGGGGGAATGGCCCAGCAAGTTGTGGTATATGAATGTGATGGAATACTATTGTGCTATAAGAAATGATGAACAGGCTGATTTCAGAAAAACCTGGAAAGACTTGTATGGTTTGATGCTGAGTGAAGTGAGCAGAACCAAGAGAACATTGTACACAATAACAGCCACGTTGTGCGATGATTAATATTGATAAACTTAACCCTGCCCAGCAATACAAGCATCTTAGAAATCTCCAAAGGCCTCATGATGGAAAATGCTATCCACATCCAAAGAAAGAACTATGGAAGTTGAATTGCTATTTTTTTTCCTCTTCTGTTGAGTTTTGTTTCCTCTTTCTGATGGTTCTTCCTATTGGTTCTAAGTTTTACTTACAACATCACTAATGTGAAAATATGTTTAATAGGAATGTATATATATAGCCTATATCAGATTGTGCATCATCTTGGGAAGGGTGGTAGGGGGGAAGGGTGGTAGGGAGGAAGGGGGAGAAAAATTTTAAACTCAAAAGCATATGGAAGTGATTGTTGATAAATCAAAATAAATTAATAAAAAATTAAAAAAAAATAAGAAAACAACTCCTTAAAAAGTAGAATTGGCCAAATGGAAAGGAAGTACAAAAGCTCACTGAAGAAATTAGAATTGGGCGAGTGCAAACTAATGACTCCATGAAACATCAAGAAACAATAAAACAAAATCAAAAGAATGAAAAAAAATACAAAAAAAAAATGTGAAATATCTCATTGGAAAAACAACTGACCTGGAAAAGAGATCAAGGAAAGAATTACTGGACTACTTGAAAGTCATGACCAAAAAAGAGAGCCTGGACAGCATCTTTCAAGAAATTATTAAAGAAAACTGCCCTGATATCCTAGAAACAGAGGGTAAAATGGAAACAGAAAGAATCCACCTATCATCTCCTCAAAGAGATTCCAAAATTATTATATTATTATATTATATTATATTATATTATATTATATTATATTATAGAATATTATAGCCAAATTCCAGAACTCTCAAGTCAAGGAGAAAGTACCGCAAGCAGCCAGAAAGAAGTAATTCAAATATTGTGGAGCCACGGTCAGGATTACACAGAATTTAGCAGCTTCTACATTAAAGGATCAGACAGCTTGAAATAAAATATTCCAGAAGGCAAATGAGCTACGATTATAACTAAGAATCACCTACCCAGTGAAAATGAGTATAATCCTTCAGGGAGAAAAATGGATATTAATGAAATAGAGGACTTTCAAGCACTTCCGATAAAAACACTACAGCTGAACAGAAAATCTGATTTTCAAATATAACATTCAAAGAAGCATAAAAAGGTGAACAGGAAAGAGAAAACAAGGGATTCAATAAGGTTAAACTGTTTACATCCCTATACAGGAAGATGATTCTTGTAACTCTTAACAGCTTTATCACTATTAGGGCAGTTAGAAAGAGTGTACATAGACAGAGGGCATGGGTATGAGTTGACTATGATGGGATGATACCCAAAAAAACCAAAAGTAAGCGGTGAGAAACAGGGACACACTTAGAGAAGAGGGAAAGGAGAGGTGGAATGGGGTATCTCACATAAAAGAGGTGCAAAAGAATTATTACAGTGGAGGGGAAGATGGGGGAGTGGTGGGCAATGCTTGAACCTTACTCTAATCGGAAATGACCCAAAGAGGGAACAAAATATATGCTCAGCTGTGTATAGAAATATATCTTACCCTATAGGGAAGTAGGTGGGAAGAAGGATAAGAGAAGGGGGGTAGGACTGATAAAAGGGAGGGGAGATTGGGGGAGGCAGGAGTCAGAAGGCAAACATTTGTGAGGAGGGACAGGGTCAAAGCGGTGAGAGAGAGGGAGGGAGAGAGGGAGGGAAGGAGAGAGAGAGAAAGGATAAACAGGAAAAATAAAATGGAGGAAAACACACAGTAATCATAAATGTTAATGGGATAATATCATCCATAAAATGGAAGTGGATAGCAGAGTGTATTGAAAAGTAGAATACTACAATATGTTGTTTACAAGAAAAACATTTGAAGTAGAGACACACATACAGAGTAAAGGTAAGGGGTCAGAGCAGAATCTATTGTGCTTCAGCTTAAGTAAAAGAAGTAGAGGTAGCAATCATGATTTCAAAGCAAAAGCAAAAATAGATCTAATTAAAAGAGATAAGGAAGAAAATTACATCTTGCTAAAAGGTTACCACAGACAATGAAGTAATATCAATACTAAACATATATCCATCAAATGGTTCATCCAAATTTTTAAAGAAGTTAAATGAGTTATAGTAAGGAATAGTAAAACTATAGTAGTGGGGGACCTCAACTTTCCCCTCTCAGAACTAGATAAATCTAACCACAAAATAAAGAAGAAATTAAGGAAGTAATAGAATTTTAGAAAAGTTAGATTTGATAGATCTCTTAAGAAAAGTGAATGGGAATAGAAAAGAATTGATACCTTTTTCAGTTGTACATAGCACCTACACAAAAAATTGACCAGGTATTAGGGCACAAAAACCTCACAACCAAATGCAGATAACAGAAATATTAAATACATCATTTCCAGATCATAATGCAATAAAAATGACATTCAATAAAGGCCCATGAAAAGGTAGATTAAAAATTAATTGAAAACTAAACAATCTAATCCTAAAGAATGAGAGGGTCAAAGGACAAATTATAGAAATAATAATTTCATTAAAGAGAATGACAAGACAACATACCAAAATTTATGGGATACAGCCAAAGCAATACTTAGGGGAAAATTTAGATCTCTAAATACTTACATAAATAAAATAGTGAAAGAGCAGATCAATGAATTGGGCATGAAACTAAAAAAACTAGAAAATGAACAAACTGAAAATCCCTAATTAAGTACCAAACTGGAAATGGTGCAAATCAAAGGAGAGATTAATAAAAGTGAATATAAGAAAACAATTGAATAAATAAAACTAGGAGCTGGTTTTATGAAAAATAAAATAAAATAGATAAACCATTGGTTAATTTGATTTAAAAAAAAAAAAAAGAAGAAAACCAAATTACCAGTATCAAAAATGAAAAGGGTGAATTCACCACAAATGAAGAAATTAAAGCAATTATTAGGAGCTATTTTGCCCAATTATATGCCAATAAATCTGACAATCTAAGTGAAATGGATGAATATTTACAAAAATATAAATTGCTCAGATTAGCAGAAGAGGAAATAGAATACGTAATCCCAAATCAGA